GCGGCAGCCGCAGCTGCGCCGTCCCGGCCTTGCTCCCCGATATCCGAACCATTCCCAGTTCTCCCCTCAGCCCATTCCCTTGGGAAGCAGAAACCGCCGGTGAACGGAGAGTCTGATGTGGCCCGAGGGTTCCTGGCCGTGTCGGCTCCCGGCGGGATTCCCAAAAAGCCGCTGGGTGGATGCAGCCATGGTGACAGTCCCTCTGGAAAAGATGAGATAAACGAAGCACTCGGCAGCCCTGAGCCTCCAAGGCCTCACTCAGAAAAATGCCACCCGTGTGAAGAAAGACTRACCCGTTCTTCTCTGAATAACTTTATTTAATCAAAAAAAGCCCAGAAATGGAGTCGTTAGTATACTYTATTTATAGGAATGCAAGGACAGGAGATGTACAGGTCGAAGCTACATCTGTAGATGATCATATACACCGCAGTATAGTAACAACAACATGGGACAGCAAGTAGTCACCTCACAACAGTACACGTGAGTGATTAGACTTACAAAGGAAATATTTACAAACCTGCCTTTACAAACCAATATTGTGTGCATACAAAATGAAATCCGCAATAAAACTGAAGATACAATTAAGGCAGACCAGCAATACACTGAAATAATTAAGGCTGTGGAATTACTTTGCACCTTGAAAATGCTGAGCTATTAGCAATACTGTTTCTTTTTTCCCCTTCAGTGGATTGTTGCTAAGATTGAAAAGCATCAATATGTTCCAACTGTTCTGAGTGAATGTCTGAGACTTAAATTTTATTAATTTTTTTCATTTGCTATTGCATTTGCTTTCCAGAAATTATCAGCAAATTCAGTGGCAGAGCAGTGTTGAACAGTTTGGTAGAAAGAGAAGTAAAAGCACCAGCATCAGAATTRGACATGAAGGTGAAAATATGGCTTGAGTAGAGATGTTGGTTTTTCACTAGCTCCATAATAAAGACTACAGTTACAGCAAACATTCAGCATCCTGACGCAATGGAAACACTCAGCACTATACAGATCCCAGAACGAGAGTACATCACTTGATGGCAGTGTGCAGTCAGCCTAGTAAAATRGGATTTTATTTTGTTTCCTTGGGAAAGCACCATTTTCTGATGGGACATGAGTGAATGAGCTCGAAAATAAACCCAAGCCCTGTGTTAGAGGAGAATCCACCTCTGCTGTGAAAGGAACAGAAACAAAACCAGGTGGTGAGCCCCTATGCATGTAAATTACCTGTTAGACCTTTATGTGCTCAGAGAAGCYTTTACATCTGTCTCTGAAGTTTGTATTATCCCAGGTCATTTGATGCAGTCCCCTCATTGCAAGGGCAAGAAAAGGGTGGTATATAGTCAGGGTATAACGTGTGGTTCTGCATTCACAGTATTTGAAGCAAAGGTCTAATAGCATTGTCAGAAATATTGATGAACTCACTGAAGCTACAGCCTTGTATGGGTCAGTTGAGGGCACAGACTTTGTCTCAGCGTTAACTTAGAAGTAGAAAGATACTGGGAAGAAAAAAATCCATAGTCTTTTGAAAAAAAAGGGCAGCAAGACTAAACAAAACTTGGTATCACTGAGAAGAGACATTTTATAAAATTTAAAGCCTGGATTGCTTTTAAGTACTAAAGTCTCCAGCCATTAATCTTAAATAAGGAGTCCCCCATGCCACTGTGTTCTCTGGGCTCTGTGTCACCAGCACCTTTGCCRCTGCCTTCCTGTCACCCAGTGCCTGGGGACACTGTGAGCCACACTTTGATGTCAGAGCAAGCTAAGAGCACTGTGGATATGTCTGAAGGCAGTGCTGTGTGCACAGTGCCACTCCACACAGAGCYTGTGGTGCACTGTTGTCAGTATTCTTGTTGGCCATCCTGGATAGTTGGAAGCTGCTGGAGAAGCTAAAGGCACAGCTTCCACCACACCTTCACTCGCCTTGGGAACACCCTGAGTGGTACAGCTGCAGGTGGAAATCTTCCCCTTGGGGTCAGATGTTCTCTGGGGAGCTTTCTTGAGAAACTCTGTTACAGACAGTATTTAATGCACCAAAAAATTCAGTAGCTGGAGAATGCTACATAGCTTGGCTATAGTTTTTCTCACCCAGTTGGGTGCATTCCAGGCCTACTTACTGAGCTCCTGTAATCTCTTTACAATGGAGTTTCAATTTGCAGCAGAGTTACAGGAACTGTTGTATCTGCAGAGGCACCACAGGTTGGCTTTAAAAGACTTTGAAAGAGCCAAGCCAGGRTATTTCCTCCGTATTTATTGTATGGCAGCATTCTGTGTCACCTTGGTATTATTTAGGCAAAATAAATCTTTGAGATAAAAAGCAAGAACAGTTGATAATCGCAAATGTTACATTGAAATTTTAACTGGTTCAAGTATTCCTGAACATGCTCTAAGAAAAGCAGTGCCTAGAAAGAGGTGTTCTCTAACACGAACATAGAAAAGCAAAACCAYGAAAGAAAGAAATCCCAGAATATCCCAAATCTTCAGAGTTCAGCACTTCCAGCTCTCTCAGTTAGTCTTTTTTTAATCTGAGCATCGATATCTAGTTATGTATAGTCCCTCTTTCAGTCTTTTGGGTTTTCTCTTCTGTTATTTGATAGCAATGAGAGGCTTAAATGTTCCTTTAAACAATCCAGCTTTCCCCCGCCTCTGCATCCAAAGTGTCTGCTGTTGCAGTTTGACATGGGAATGCAGGAGGTAGGAAAACAAAATGCKAAATAACTCCAAATTTCATGTGATACATGAGAATTTGTTTGTGTTAACACCAAGCAGAAAGACCTTGTACCCATGGCCTAATAAAAGCTGTGGGTTTTACAGACTATGCTTCCATGAAGAGTCAATCACAGCACAAAGAGCCAGCTTTGACAAATAGGAAAAAGTACAGACAGTCCTGTAGTGAGAAAGTACCTGAGGCTGGTGGTAATTAAAGACCCCCCTTGACTGCTGTCTGTATTCAGTTGTTAAGAAATTGCATACTTTGCACTGTTGCTCAGGATGAGGATCTGCTCTTTATCTAAGAGGTGCTGCTGGATTGCTTAGAAAATCAGCTGCTGCTCTACAGAGGAACTGAGATAGGTTCTAGATGATTCAAAAAGTTTAACCTTCCATGAACACTGGTCTCTTTCAAAAATTTCCACAACTCCCTCCCTGTATTAGATCTCTCCCTGAACCGCTCCTGATTCTGCTGAGGCACCTGGGCTCACCCTTCTGCCTGTGGTTTCCTGCTGTCAGGGGCTGTTCTTTGTTGCACACACTCAGTGCTGAATGCTGAGAAGGTTTTTGCTGTGCCACCTCTCTTGTCCACTAGCAAAATACTGACCAGTCTGGTGTAGTGATAGAGCAAGCACAAACAGAAGGGCCAGGTCTCCTCCCTGCTGTGAAATCGAGTTTAGARGTGGTCCAAAAAGGGCTTTTAGAGCCCTGAGAATTTAACAGTACTTGCAGGGTATCTCCACCACCTACTGGCAGAGACAGCGCTTGCTCGTGCAGGCTCACAGTGCAGTTACTTGGATGGTAAATGAGATTTGACTCTCATCCTTACTAGAGAGTTTATATGAGCACACCAAGCCATTTTCCTTAGGAAAACCTTTGGTAACAATTGCCATTTCCTATTACAGGCACACAAATGGCACTCAGCACCGAGACAAAGTCCCCACATGCCAGGGGAAAGAAGTGTCTTTGATCATAACCCYTCAATGCTGTAGGGCTTTGTGGTGTAGCAGTAGGATGGGGAAGCCCCAGCTGGTTTCCCCTTCCATTCCCATTTCTGGAAAGGAAGATTTGGCCAACCTACAAACTGCTGATTTGTCACTGCAGACTCCCTGTGTTGGTTATACCTAAGGCTGGCACTGTCACTGTAACATCAATATGATGATGTTGCAACTTGGCTTGCAAGAGAGAAATGTTTTAATTGTGAATATTGGTTTTTTATTACAAATTTTTGGACATAAAAATATCCTCATGAATGCTTTGGTTATGAGGTGCTAATGGTAGCTGAGAGATATTTACAAGTTTGGAAATGAAACAAATGACATACTTTAAACACTGAAAACGATTTTAAAGCTGTAAGCACAAGAATGAACTCACCACTCCTACTGCACTCTGAAAGGCTTAAATGGACTTTGGGCCAGGCAATTCTGAAGCTAGAAATGGAACAGGATCCTTTATATTTATATATATTTATATCTATGATACAATATATGTATACTGAAAACCTGTGATAGAAAAAATTGTCTTCATCGCCATCATCATCTAGTTTACAGATACTGCAAAAATTGGACTCTGCCTTTTCTCAATGCACAGGTTTTGCAAAATATTTCTGTACAGTGTGTATAAAATGCTTTAAAAAAACCCACCATAGTCCCATTGTGCTTAGTCAGAACCAGCCGTATGCTCCAATGAATTCATTGCCTTATTCATAGCTCCGAAAGGTGCTGCACGTTGACTTAACACAGCAGAAAGCCCAGGGAGGGCTTAAAGGAGGATTTTGGTCTGAGCACTACCATGCAACAGGAGTGTACCTAAGCCACGCCACCACAAGCTGATTCAGCAGTGACTGAAGCCTGATCTTGCAAGTTCTATGCAGGCAAAGTCCCCACTGAAATCATCTGGACATAAGGGGCATGAGAAATCTGACTGATAACCTGGAGCAGGCTCGCAATGATTTCAGCAAAAACTGACCAGTCCAGTTCTGCAGTACATGCTAAAGTTAGCCTGGTCTCACTCCCCACCACTATCCTACTCCTAATTTTTTGTACATTTTGAATTCAGTTCAGCAAGATCAAGAGGATTTCTTATAAGGCTGCCTCACAAAGATTAAGGCAACTGCAATTTTGGCTCTCGTTCCCAGTCGGTGTTTGCTTCCTGCAGTCCTTTTTTAGTGATGGATGTGACAATACCACGTGCCCCAAGAGAGGGAGCAAACGCCAGACATGGGATATGTACAGCCAGATCCAGRTGTTGGTGCCTGTGTGCTCCCAGCAGCATTCCTGGTGCCCGGCTCAGGGCCAGCAGTGTAGGATCCTGTGGATGGAGGCCCTATGTGCCYGGGTTCATCCTGCTCAACAGGAAACTCTTGACGCTGGGGACCGGGTGCACGTCGTACTGGTGCCTGCGGCGCTCGATGAAGGAGGCCAAGCGGGAGGTATCCAGTGGGATCTTGGAATAGCTGCCATTGTGTGGCTGCAGCCACGGGTGCTGTAAACAAGTGGCTGCCGTTGGCCTTCTCCTGAAGTCTTCCTGGAGGATAACGTTGATGAAATCCCTGGCAGCRTGGCTCACATCAGAGAAGTACTCGTGTGGGAAGCTGAAATCCACTCTGCACACATTGATACAAGTCTCCTCTTTGCTTTCATCCAGGAACGGAGAGACRCCGCTTAACATGACGTAGGTGAGGACCCCAATGCTCCAGATATCCGTGCTCAGGGAGACAGGAAGGCCTTGGATAACTTCAGGGGCTGCAAACTCTGGGTTTCCAAGGAGGTGGTGGACATGGTAGTGACCTGTGATCTGAACTGCATCTTCCAAATCAATGATCTTGACACGAGGCACTGGGATTCTTAAATCAATGAGCAGATTTTCTGGCTGTTGAAAATACAATGATATAAACTTAATCATAACTATATTTTGGCAAATAAAATGTGTAGRTTTCCTGTTATTTTAATAGCCAATCAGAACTTGCATTTAATCAGATGTGCAAGGTAGAGCTCAGGAGAGTAAATGATAAGGAACCAGCTCATCTGCTGTTTGCTCCAAATTCAGATCAGTGCTGCAGTTGCAAGTACAAGATCCTTTTTAGCACTACGGCAACACACTGGGATTTTGCAYTTTGTCCCAAATACTTACAGTTTATTTTCCCAAACTAATCTCTACAGATTAAGAGCACTGAACGGATTTTTAAATTTTACTAAGACTTGTATATAGCTGATCAGTTTATTTAGATTCCATTTGTTCAGATGACAGCTGGCTAAGTAAGTGTGTGTAACTTGCARCAGAAATGTTCTTCATGAAGTAAATGTTCAATTTTGCACCCGCTAGCCTGGGAGGGACTCTGGTGTGTGACATTACTGTTGCTGTCAGTTGACACAGAGCTCCCAATGTTCCCCTATACATACCAGGACACAGTCAAGCTTTCCAAGCCAGCATGCAGTTACATTTCATCCCAGTTTGTTTTCTCTCTGTTTTAGCAACTCTCAGTATTTAAGGCCTCTCTCAGTGGGAGATGCTGAACCTTGCCTGTACACTTCACTCTGGGGACTTAAGATGGATTATCCTTCCTTTTTTAGCTCTGATTTCTGAATTTACTTCTTGTACTCTTCTGGATCTTTTGTTCTCTCCCTTATCCTCATGTATATTTAACTGCTGCCTCTTGGCTATATACACACACACACATATACACACATATATATTTATATATATAAAGCGTTCATTACACTGCTGTTCCAGTCTCTCTGCTTGCTCTTCTCTTGTGCAGTCTCAGTGGACAAAATCAACACATCCTTGAGCAGGATCCTGGGACAACACAGTCCATGGACAGGTCTGCTGTCCCTGCCAGTGCATCTCCTGCTTCCCACTTAGCAACAGAAGGTGCTTTATTTAGCATCCCTCATTCAGGGGAACTGCAAATAGGTCACAGAAAATTAGCTTCCCACCTTGTTTCTGGGAAGTATCTTATAATCAAACAGAGAATTCATTGCAGTTTCTTACCTCCAAGTAATACCTACTTTTTGACAGCTCATATAAACAGAGCAAAAAATACAAACTCTCTCATAGACAGAAACCAGGATGATTTAGTCTTTTCTGTCTAATTCTCACACGGTTCTGTACAAATGGATTTTCTTTGTAGGGGTAGAGAGAGCAGAAGAATGAAAGTATCGCTTAATTTGACATGAGAATAGATCTGAATTGTACAGTACGTAAGAAAGTTAAATTCATCCCTTTCTCCATTTTTAATTGCCATTTAYGTCTGCAAAGAGTTATAAATTATCTGATATCCGTGGCAATCAGAATCAATGCTGCAAATCACAAAACTTGAAATACTTGGTGATAACTTCAATGGCTAATTCTCTGTCATCCAAGATAACTGGGATGCTGGGGAGGACAGCAGTACAATGCCAAATCCAGGACAGTACAATGCCTCCTGCCATGTGTGCTCAAAAAGCAGGTACGAGCTGTACTAGTCTGAGTGTGACGTTARAGAAAACCCCAATTTCGTCTCCACAGTACAACTTGTTCTTTGTTCTTCCTCTGAACCCCTCCCTGGGTGTATTTCCCACCCAATTCCTCTCTCAGGCTCTGCAGCACAATGCAATGTGCTGCTTTTCTTTTCTTTTGCTCCTGCCAGCCCTGCCCACCTTCTGCTGCCTGGCACYATCCCTCCCCTTGCTTTGGGCTCCCAAGGGCACTGCTGCACATGTGAGGAGSACATGGGCTCCTTCTGGCCTGCCCTGAAGTGCCTGGGCATGAGCCAGCTCTGCTGAGGAAGCTTGGTGGCTGAGTTAAGCCCAAACCATATTCCGTAGTTCCCCTTCAGTCAGGTGCTAGTGACATCTCACTCATGTCTCTCAGACATTTTTCTTCTCCTTCATTAAATCTAGAAAGCCTTTGGGAACAAACCAGTGAATAAAGGAAAAAGGTGCATTGCTTGTCTGAAGGCAAAGACCTGGCGCTGCAGGTCAGTGACTCCTTCCTCTGATCAACAGCTTGTCCATTTAGTGATCATCTCCTTGGGGTACAGGCTGCACCTCCTCCTGGTCTGTGCAGCTGGGAACTGTCTGTTCCAGGGCACAGARTAACAGCATCATTCTCCTTTGTTCTTACCTTTATGTCTAAGTGAGCCACTCTGCAGTTGTGAAGGTACTGCAAGGCTTCCATTGTGTCTCTTATATAGAACGCCACCTTTTCCTCCATGAGTTCATCATGGTTCATCAGATAATCTAAGAGACGACCATCATCCATCCTACGAACAAACCAAACCCTGCGCATGAAACATCACTTGGAATCTCTACAAACAGTTCATATTTGAAAACAAAAKTGCAATGGAAACTTTCTGACCTAAAAAAGGAAGGAAAATAAAATGCAAGATCTGATGAGTATTTAATGCTATCTCAAGATACCACAGGCCATGGAAGTGGTAGAATGATTAATCCTCARTTGTTATCTCCAGTCCTTGACAAATTTAGCATCAGTCTTGAAGTAAASTCATTTGCTTAAGGATGGATTCAACAGACAGAGACAATCCCTTTGGAAACAGAGCTTCTTAATTATTTGGATTCATCTATTTATTTATAGAGCTGGTTACATAATGCAGGAAAAAAAATYACTGACATTTTCAGCTGGTAATATTTTCTGTGGGAAAATGAGCCCAATAAAAGTTTTCCACCTACTTTATTTATCTTCACAAACAAACATCAAATAGCCCAAATATACTTTGTTGGATATACTGTAACAAAGCATTTTGGAATTTGGTTCCTGTTTCTCCTTATGGAGCAAGCATGGCTGCTACAYAGGTCTTTTTACCAAAAAGCATTAGAATGATGTAGGCTTTGATCTTGCTGAAACACTTTTACTCAAATGTAAAAAGTGGACTAAACTGCCCAAGTAAGTCTGATGYTTTTCAATGGGACAAATTACCCAAGCTTCACCCAAGTAGCAAACAGTTTTATTTGTCCCTCTGAATATTACCTACTGTAAAGAAAAGGCAGTGGAAACTGTGCAGAAAATGGCTATTTCATTTCACAGCACAATCAATAAAATCTTTGCCCTCCTGAACTTAGGGTTATTTTTGTGCTAGGCTTTAAYAGGGCTGTCCTACCCTGACACTTGAATACAACCTCTGAGTACTTACAGTTCCAAAACTAAGATRTACGAAGTAGGAGATTCGTAGGTATCGTGGATAGTGATGTACTGAGGATGCTGTAAGTGTTGTAAYAAAGCTGCTTCATGTGCTGCCTGCTCTTTCTTTTTCATTTTTTTACTAATGAATTTTACAGCAACATCTTTCCGGGTGGCTTTGTGGACACATTTCTTTACTATGGAGAATCGACCCCTGAAATTATAAAGAAAACAGTATAATGAAGTGGCCTCATGAATAAATCATGCCTAGTTTTTAGAGCAATAACWGAGTGATTTTTGAAGGGTTTTTTGATTCAGCACATTAATATTTCACAAGGAAACAGATTTAACAAGTTGTTCATAACCTTTTCCAACAAAGGCACTCCATCTCTTACCCTGGGTGTAGAGATTCTTTGGGGATTAGCAAACACTGAGAGCAAACGGTGYCACTTTGCTTTGTGCAGCCATACTGATATCCTCTAACAACCTCCCCTGGGTTCAATTTGCTGCCACTTTTACAGGTTCTATCTCCTTTTATTTTAGCTGTGGGTCTCCCTTCTCCAGCTGCTTAATTAAAGAGACCAAACTTTCTCAAACAACTGTAAGAAAAGCCTTGTTAAATAATCACTAACCTACCATTTTGACTCACTTTTTCAGACACACAGTAAGAAATTAAGAAAAAGCTGTCAGGAAAGCATTTAGGAAACTCATACAGACCATGGTACCATTCCTGAAAGTAAAACTATGCAGTGGAACCAAGTGCTGAACTTGAGCTCTGACTGATACATCACTGCTTTCTACACAACCAGAGGGACTTCTGTCCTTTCAACCCTCGAATTACTTGTCTCTGACATCTGAGCTGAAGAACTAATTGCATTAACCTGATTATTTGCATGCCCCTTATCTGTTATCTGTGGAGAGCTTCAAGGGCTGACAACATGTGCTGCTCCTATTTAGGCTCTGTYCAACTCACTCCCAATCTGCAAAGATAAGTCAGTCACATGCCCAAGTGTTTTGGCAAACTCAGTCTTTGAGGTTAAGCTTATCCAGAGCCAGAAAATTGTCATGACTTCAAATCAGGACCTCGGATCAGAGATGACACAGAAGATACCAACTGCCAGAGATTTGGCAGCCTAATTGTTCACCATTTTGCCAAGTTGCAATTCTCAAATCAGAACTTATCTTGAAAAACAGAATTTAGACAGTATTTTAATCAGTATCTGATATGCAATGCTCTTTGAAAGGAGCAGCAGTATTCAAGCCAGATACAAAAGTAACCTAAACTCCCCACCAAGGAAAAATCTTCAAGCTGTTATTTGAGTGTTTCATTGCAGTGATAAGCAGGGTTAATATTACCTCCCAATCTCATGCAGCTCTGCATAGGCAAGGTCAAAGTTTTCCTTCCATGAAATAGTGGCACCATCAGCAGCAGAGTCTTTGAGAGAACAAAGAACATTCAAGAAGATATMAATTTAAAGACAGTTGCTGTGGACTGTATTTTAAAGTTATGTGAGACTGTATTATTAAGACAGGAAACATCACTAGRAGTCTGGTTTCCTACTGCTCAGGCACAGGTCCAGTGTGCTGGACCACCAAATGCCAGAGCTCCCCAGGGGAAGGTATGGATAAGGGGGACTCAAATCCGTCCTTGCAGTTTTGGGCTGAAAAGGGCCACAGAGATGGGGTAGAGCTGTGCTGTGTGAGCTCCTGCTCCATCCAGCACAGGCTATCCAAGCCAGTCACAGACCTAGTTACACTCCTGGGGWATAACAATGTGGGGAAAAGTGGGCTCTGCTCACAGCGCCTTTGAGAGTGAGCTGTACCCCAAATTCCTACAGCACCAAGCACTTGGGAATTGCTTCCATCACAGCACTCCTATTCCAGCTGCATTGCTCAAGGAGGGACATTTGGCAAGCGRGATTGCAGTTTCCAGCGGGGCTGCCCAGCAGAAGCTGCTGGGGCTGCTGGCATTGCCAAAAAGGGAGGACATACCAGCCAGGACATGGAGCCTGTTGGGCAGAGATAAAGACAAGAAATAGTCTTGGGATAGAAAGCAGGGACCTGCTCGGAATCGGCAATAGCCTCTGTCACAGAGGGTGGAAGTGAAGACATGAATATCMCTTCTGGGGACAGGAACTGGCTCTGAGCATCTCCCAGGCTTTTTCCTGTACTGTAGTTGGTCCAGGATCCCTGTTTTTATCGGGACCCATCAAAACACACCATACAGACGGCACAGGTGGACTCCAGTGCATCAGCCCCTCCCTGCAGCGCTCACTCACCGTACTCCGGGAGCCTCACAAATTCGGACGGGTCGCTGGGCAAGCTGATCCCCCAGGGGTTGCTGGCACTCACTCGGAACTGGTACTGGCAGCCTGGGGACAGGTCCTCAATGACGAGATACGTGTCCAAAGTTGAGGCCACCGACTGCTGCCAGACCTGTGAGCCTGTTGGACAGAGGGAGACAAGGGGAGCTCAGGGCTGAGRCTCTCTCTGGGAGGTTCAAATCTACAGGGTTTTTAAGAGGCAATGTAGCAGCAGACTGTTAAACCAGAAATGGATCACAGGAAGCTATTATGTGTGGCAGCCACCTTCCCATCTGGCTAAATGAGACAATAAGGAAATGCCTCTCAGGTGACTGATAATGATGGAAAAAGCACAGCCCAGGGACAAGCTGATCTCTCCAGCACTTTAGCTGTGATTGTGTGCTGCAAGTGATGTCTCAGGGCAGTGGGATAAGACAGAAGTGGAGGGCTGATTTGATGACAGCTCTGCTAGGAGAGAAACAGTAGCAGAAAGACTGCAAAAAAACCCCAAAACCAGGGGCAAGGGAGATGAAGCTGGGACAGGGTGTCAGTGCAATCCAAATGCTTTTGCAGATGAAGATATGGTGGCTACATGAAAGCTGCAGCTTCAGGAAGAGAAGCATATCTCTGAGGCTTAACACAGGCAGCTTGCAGATGAGCAGAATTGCAGCAAAGAAATRTGTGACTGTCATGTGTTCCTGCTCCTATCAGAAACAAACCCAACCATTGCCTAACCTGTGGTAATCAAAGGAGCAATACTTACTCACCTGTACAGGGTCAGAGAACAGAAAAGGACCCCTGGAACACAGAACCCTGCCAAAGACAGTGATTTCTTCAAGAATACATAAACTTTTATCTCCTTTTAGTAAGTTCAGGGCCTTTTAACTTTACAGTATTTACCATGGCCAATTTGTTTTGTGTGTACTGTGGACAAATTCCAATTGCCAGGTCTCACAAGGTCATGGTTGGTTTTACAAGAGTCTATTTTACCTTTGAAGTGGGAGGAATGCTGAAAACMCTGCTGGGTTTTTTKCTGTTTGTTTTRGGGTCATTGTTAATAAGGAGCTTTTATTTTTCTACAAGGATGCCAGTCACGCTGATGGCACAGTGAGGGTCAAGGGAGAATATTCACTAGGAGAAGGCATTAATATGATGGAGTGATTAGATTTGCACATTTACTAAAAATGGGATAGGATCTTTTGAAGGATGAAGGGGAAAAAATGGAGGCCATATATCTATGGCAAGGTTTACTGCCCAGGGACCCTCACACCTTTGCAGGAARAATGTAAAAAGGGATGTGAATCATTTCAAATGCTCTTTTCAAGAGCACATGCCTGTGCATATTGGGAAAATGGGGCTTTTAATATCTAACTAATTCTTTCAGGGGAAAAGGATGGCTGGATTTAAGAACAAATGGATTTCAGAGCTGAGCTTGAAAAGTATGCAGGGATCTACAACTTTATCCAGATCAAAAAAATAATGAGGCTGATTTGGTTTTGCATTTCTGGGAAGCACCCTCCTGAAAGGATGGACACCATGGAGGTAGAATGCAAATGATAAAAGGATGCCTTAGTGATGGGTATGTTTTAGCTTAGCACATTTTACTTGTCATAAACAACCAGAGAAAGCAGAAGGGTCTGTAATATATGAGAGGTTGGACTGGATGACAGAGGGGTTTCTTTCTGCCTTAGATCTGGGATCTGTAAGCTATAACTAGTGGCACCCCAGTGGTGATAAGAATGTTTTTGGGACCTGTTGTGTCATAAAGGAAACATACCCTGTTCTCATTCTCACAGGCAGCAAGCACATCTCTTACCTTCTTCTCTGTACTCCACAGTGTAGCCTGAAATGGTGCAATTGCCTGTACTGGATGGGGGCAGCCAGCGCAGAATCACAGAGGTGCAGCTTCTCTCCTGAGCAATGGGGCGGTTTGGGGCAGCTGGCACACCTTGGGAAGAGAAAACAATGCCAAGTCCAGCATCACTCAACAAGTGCTAATGCTTTATTCGGAAGATCAGGTACATCAGGTCACCACAGAACAGCTGCATCCTGTAGAGGGACTTCTCAAAGCAGCAGGTGASGAGTCAGTTACCACTGAATATCCAAAAATGACACAAGCAAGGCATTCAGAGCTCTTTTSTGTGTATGGGAGCTCTTCTGCGTGTGTGGTGCTTTGTGTGCTTGGGAGCAGATTGACAAATGACCAGTAACACTTCTGTGCTTTGCTTAGGGCTCCCTTCAGCACAGGAGTAGTCAGTGCAGCCACTGACTTGCTTGGATAAATTGKAGAAATTATATATCTAGGGTGGTTTGTGAGACCAAACAAATCGACTTTTAAATGACATTGCTGTGTCTCTAAGTCTCCAGTTAGACATTTGTCTCTGGACCATCCCCTTCACCACAGCTGGCTCCTCTCATCTCCCATGCTGACAGATCCCTTACTAGAGCTGGAGGCAATGAGCATCAACTCATTATTTCATATTCATTACARTTAGATGGGTCTGAGAATGGTGCTGAGAATTCAGGCTTGGAGACATGTATCCAAGTTGAATCCCTGAAGAACAGTTTCACCAAGGCCAAATTTTACTCTCACTTCCTCTGTCCCCTAAAAAGAWSGGGAGGTGGAAAATTGGTGTMRCTGGATCCCARGCAGATTCTAAAGCCCAGAGATCTGCTYCAGGCAGATTCTAAAGCCCAGAGCTTCCTGCACTCAGCTGGGGCATCATTCCTGCAGGGACTTGGCAGCCTGAGGGAGCTGAGCTTCCCCTGGCTGACCTTAGTGAGCTCCATGGGAAGCAGCACTGTGAGCAGGATGCAGGAGCTGAACCAGTGCCAGTGCATTTTCATTTCCCAAATGTGATGTTTATGGTCAGACRATTTAATCAATCACAAAGAGCATGCAAAGCCTTCAGCCATCAGTGGGAATTGTGGCTGAGGAATGAATGGTTGTGTGACTTCACCATCTCAATTCACCTGGCAYAGCTCCACATCACCTGCCTCTGCATGAGCTGTTCCTGTGTGCTCCCARCCCCCACCAAGGAACCACACACAGGAAAAATCCCGTGTGTTAAGGTCAGATGTGCTACCTTGGACTTTGATGGTTGCAGAGGTTGAKGCGGTYCCGTGCTCATTGGTTGCCACGCAGGTGTAGATGCCGCTGTCCTGAGGCATCAGGTTGCAGATCTTCAAGGTGAGCTCTCCTGAGTCGCTGTGGATGCAGGAAGGCCCCGTTATAAAGCACTGCTTCACTTGCTAATGGTTKATATATGGTTCCTGTCCTGCCTCATTGCAAACACACATGCACACAAATCCTATTAACTCATTTGAAGGAACATCCCTCCAGCAATTTGATGCCCAAGTACTACAGCTCCATATGTCAAGGGTTTGGCTGTTAATGAAACCTTTGAGCAAATCTTTGGTCCAAACTGCCTGCCATGCAAATCCTCATGTCTGTTGTGGCCTAGGAGGAGATGTGAAGGATCACTCCAACAGCAAGCMAAGTACAGGAGTTTGAATATTGCCTGTGCCTGTCCAGAGCTGGATGCTTAGACTCAGAATATCTGGAATTTTACCCACATACATCTTTCCTATCTTGGAAGATGGTGAACTGCTGTGCCTCTGCAGTGAAGTCTAATGCAATCAAACAAACTGGGTTTCCCACAGATACAGGAAACAGTCACACAGCACAGGGTGACATTTCCAGGGAGCTTCAGACCTGCCATAGATCTGATGCTGCTGCCAGGACCCCCGTTGGAAGGTTGGACATCTCATAATACCCAGGGGTAAGGAGCACAGCACTGAGCTCATGAGACACATTCAGTCTTTGGGCTAATCTGAGAAAATAAACAGCTCTGCAGAGTCTCATGAATTTATAGCAGGTCTGTTCATAGTCACTGCTGTTTGCACACTTCAGTCTCCAATATGCAATTTGAGGGAGCTGGCCTGAATTAAAGGATTTTGCTTGTGTAACTGTTTTAGCTGTACTGGAGACCCAGCTTAGAGCCAACAATAAGTTCCCTTGATGGCAAAAGTAGGCTAGTTCTTGAATGCTTAATCTGTCAGGAACTGTAGAAGGACAYGGTTGCTGGGATAACTGTCTGGACACTGCAGCTTTTGATGGTCTGACTGTGCTAGTTTTAAACAGGACAAAAATATCCCCTCTCCCTGAAAGCCAGACACTCATGGCAGCAAGATTTGTAAGAGCYACTGATCTGCTGGGCCTCTGCTTGGCAGGCAGTGTCTTCACTGGAAAGAGTATTTGAGTAACAACGCAAGAGCTGATAGTGCACAGGGAGCCAACGCACAGGCAGAGGACTGTGACAAAAACCAGAACCCTCTGTATGGAAATATCCCAACATCCCAAGCCCAGCCAGAGGCTGAAGATAAGGCACTAGGAGATCTACTGAGCAATAGCTAAAGACAATTTTGGATGCTCTGGGGCAGCCACACAAGCTGATGGTCTCTGAAGGAATCTCTTGATCAGATCTAAGGGGTTTTTGTATTGAACATGTAAAATCCCTTCTCTCTTAGTGTTCTTTTTTTCACTTTCAGTGACTTTGTATTCCCTGGATTCATTTCAGCCTGAGTCAGAAGTGCTGAAAAGTTCAAATGAAAGATTGCCTCCTGGAGATTTCCACTGCGTTTGGCCCAAAATGCTTATATAAGCTGCAGATGAGCATCCAGCAGCAAGCAGGCTGTTACCTGACCTGAATTCAACTCCAGATCTTACAGAATCTTCCCAGTGCTTGTTGCAAAGATAGTTTTCCTCTCTGCTAGCCAAGCCAGGAACATCATGACAAGCATCTTTCTGTCCAAGCACARCCAGATGTTGCCTTCCCAGGAGCACATGTGGGCTTTTTTAGGAACAGCTGAGGAAAGGSTCAGGAAAACTGTAAGCCCATCTCTGCCCCTAAGACAAGGAAATGTCCAGTGATAGGGGTATTGCAAGGTGGTGAGGGTTTTCTCTGCTTGACTCCCAAAGGAGATCATGGGATCAAACTCAAGCAGAGAAGCCCCAGCAGAGGCAATCCTAGCCAAACTAATAGGTTGTAAACATTCTGGCTTGCAGCTGGCTCAGAAAGTCAATGGGAGCAATGTCTGCCAGCAGCACTTTGTGGATATATYCTACATCATCTTGGGAAACAAATACAGCTACCCCAGCCCCAAAGTCTGACCCTTTCCAACCAATGTTTGCTGGACTGATGTGCTGACATGCCATGCTAGACTTAATTAACTGCATCCTAATGAGTCTTGTAGCCAGCTGTTGCCATATTTGAGGGTAACATGACCATCAAGCACAGCTACGTTGGKATCCACAGGCAGGACCTTACCAGGATGACACCGTGTAAGTGGCYGTGCTATTGTCATTGTCCAGAATGTTTTGGTCCGGTCCTTTCCAGGTTATAGTTGGTTTGGGTCGCCCACAAACTTTGCACTGCAGCATCACTGTGTCCCCAAGCAGGCAGGTGATGTCCACTAATGGCACAAGAAACTCTGGAGCCACTGTAAAAAACCATGGGGACACACACACACGATACTTCTTAATCTGCAGGTGAGGCTGTCTCGAGTCATAAAAGGCTAGACAATACACTGCAGGATGAACTATGAGATCTGGATCCCAAACAGCTGGGAGTCCTGGGATTATGCCATTGAAACTGCCCTCCATTAAAAGCCAGCTGTCGACAGCTCAGAGAAAGAGTGCAGGGGAGTGTCCACCCCCCAGCCCTGTGCTCTGGCAGGTGGATGAGATTTTAAGAGGGCAGATTTGGGGGGAAGGGGTTCAGCCTGGCCTGTGGCCCCAGGCTGTCTGAGCCTGCCTTCCCTGGGACTGAGCAGCAGAGAGCTGCCTTTACTGCAAATGCTGCTGGATGCAGAGCATGCTGTGGCACCAAAGTAAATCACAACTGTAGCACAGCTGTCCTCAACTCACCTTCTTGAATGAAATTGGGGTTGATTATCTGAAAAATACAAAGAGATACGAGCATTTATTTCCTAGACAGTGACAAAGAGACATCCGATTTCACAAGGCACCGTGGTGACTGTGACCACAACTGCAGAAGCACTGCAGTGGCAGCAAGCACCTTCTAACAACCAGCAGGTGCAGCAAGCTCTAGTGACAGCACACCTGGGGAAGTAAATGATGAAATATCACAGGTAACAGGCACAACACCAAAGCTGAGGAGGGTGGACGTGCTTTCTCTTTGCCTGGGTGATAAGGATGAAGCCATTACTGCTTCCTCGCAGAGGTGGTTTGTGCATCCCCCATGCCCAGCTCCAGACCTGTGTCACACAGCACCTGCAGCCACCATGCACCTGGGGCATGTCACCAGCACCTGGCCACTAACCAGGTCTGGAGGCAACGTCTTTTAACTTGTGCTCAGCTTCAGGAGAAAAAAGGTAAAGCACTAAACCATAAATGTTTCAATTTGCCCAATGTCGAGGATCAGCCCTGCAACAATTCTTGGTTTATCAAAATGAGTAAACATTCACTCATTTCATTGGACTGCTGGGAACTTTTCAGCTTGAAAGTAGGTTTGGAAAACTGGGAGTTATTTTTTTCTAAGTAGTTAATTGAGCAAGTTAGCAAAGACTTGAAAAGCTGCTGTTACTCTGTGGTGTTTATGCACCAATGTAACCCTGAAAGCAAAGGCAGAAAAAACAAAGACAACACCACTAAGTTCTTACAGAATCAATCCTAGCAACATTGTGGTGTACAATATATAGGGGTTTTAGCCTCATTAACTGTTTTAATAATCTCATAARCCCTTGTTATTCAAACTCAATCTAATAATTTCATATTCAAGCACCATAAACACCAATGTGGTTTATCTCGCCTTAAATATCTTTGTTACTATTTATTTCGGAGCTATTTTGGAAGATGCCAATGAAGCAGTGACCTAATTCATGGCCTGCCAAAATTGATAGGAAGATTTTGCCRAAGCTCAGAAACCAGGCCACAAAACAGAAGCAATAACCCTTCAAAATAAAGCAGATCCATCTTCAAGATTTATATTTATATTTTTTGGCTTTATAAATAGTTTACCGAGGTCGATGGCTCAGGGTGCCATTTGAGGAAGCATTTGGGCACATTTTGGTTTCACAGCCTTTCTTTATAGCCCCAGGCCAAGCTCTGGTACCAGTACTGAGACCTCAGGCTCTGCTTTCCCCTACCACCAGCACRAAACCCAAATGAAGCAGGCAAGCACAGAGTCCCTTCCAAAGGGAGCAGCTGGGCACCAACAGCAGCACACAGACCTGACAGCCCAGGGACTCAGGGGCAGCAGCTGCTGCTCCACAGGGTCCAGGACCCACATTCACACCCCTGCACCCTGCAGAAGGATGAAATTGTGTCACAGCAGGGTACTGGATGGAAAACATCCTTTCTTCTGTCTGTGCATATGAAAAAAAGAGAGATGGATCTTCATGATTAAGTTGTATCTCTCACACAAYACAGCAAAGGGAGACAAAGCTGTTCTGAGGGTAACCATTGCTTGCCACTTTCACTCACAGACACCATCTACTTTTCAGCTGAGTAACCTCAGGCATCAGCTCATTTGCACATACATCTTCATTTTTTTGGCTTAACTGAAGTATCCATTCTCCAAAGCTCTCCCTTTCCTTCCCTGCAGCATGCACTAAATTCCTTATTATTCACTGATCTCCATCCCTGTAGGATTAGAGATCGGGAAAAAGAAACATTCGTTAACACTTTATATAAATTTTATAACTCTAAAGGATTCATTAGAAGATGCAAGTACAATAATGAATGTAATGGATACCTCTAYAAATAAATAATTCTACATTTCTAGTGACTTCCAAGGTACAATAATTTACAATAATTGCCTTACCAATTTTTTTCATTGCCTCACCATGAGAATAGCAGAAACAAAATTATCACTGCTAGATAATATTGGAAGAGTCTGTGGGTAAAATTTACATTTTCTTTCACAAAACTTCATCTGTTAATTAATCAAATGGTACCTAACAACACCCCCACAGCCACATCACAGCTTTAGCCTGCTGTAAGCTTAGACAAAAATAAGAGTCTGTCTGCATGAGAACGTTCAAGAGATTTAATACATCACCTTATTAGGGAATGGGATTTCTTCTGCTTTTAAGAAGGGCATCAAATGATGGGGTGAGAAGGGCAGAAATGGAAAAGCAAAGGTTCACAGCCAGATCTGCATCCCAGTCCCCAGGGCTTTGCTGCCTCTCCCTGCAGGCTGGCCAGGTTTCTGGGCTGGAAGGCAGGAGATGGCAGCCTCCCTAAAGCCCTTCCAGATTAAGTGCAAGACCTTTGGAAACAATTTCTTAATTTCCAAATAGGTTTTTAATCTACATGGGTGGAGGAGCTCCAGCGCATGTCCTCACTGCCCTCAGAGGGTGAGCTGCTTCTCCACAGCCTCCTGCTGGTGCCAGGGCTGGATCCCCCCAGAGATGCTCCTGCCCACTCCCCCTGCAGCAATCTGAACGAGGATCTCACAGCCCAGCCCTCAGCCAAGAACCCCAGCCACAGTGGCCATGAGCAGGGGGAGGTGGCCCAGGTCTCCTGCACACCTCCTGCACCAGTGTGGCAGCCCCTCTGGCTGTGAGGGGACAAACTCATGGGGATGGAATGACCCAACACAAGAACTTCTCACTCCATCTTCAGGSTCAGTCCACACCATGCAGACACAAACCCTAAGGGGATGAAACTCAGTTCGCAGTGCATGTAAGAATTAAAGCTGGGCTTTTTCCTTGAAACATACTTTTAATTGAGATGAGATGAGATGAGATAGATTCTTTTTTCATTGGACAGAATACTTGTTGCATGGCCCAGGGCAGGTGAAAATTGGTAAGGTTCCCCTCTGTGGCCAGGTAAGTTTGTTTTCCATACAATGACAGCTGAAAATGGAAATCCTATCCAAGGTAACAAAAGGCAGACCATGAAATGGCCTCTGCTCAAGTGATGTGGGRTCTAACACTGACCAGACAAAAAAAAGACAGCTGGAGGGAGGAGGGTGAGATAAAGCAATGGGAGGACAGGTTAGAGTTATTTAATAAAAAGCCAGAAATAGACCTTGCTTCTCCCTCTTCCAGCCTGTGCTGTTTCAGGGCTCRGACCAAGAAAGGGACCTGAAGCACACAGTTGAATGCCTTTGGGGACCGGCAGGGATCTAAGTGACTTAGATCTAGTTCAATTAAGTGTAACCTACAGTCAGGCTTTAGAGAAGCAGCATGGGTGCTTCTCCAGAAAGGCAGTATTTGGGAGTATTTTTCCTAGTTTATTAAGCTCATGTTACAAAGACAGAAAGGCATCGTTAGCATGTTCTTATCTTTCACTTGTGCCCACGTGCTGTCCCTGGTGGGGAGGCAGAAGCCACCCTGCCACGCCAATGGCCGGGCCCAAAACTCTCTGCAAGCACAGCTCGGCTGCCTGAGAGGGTTCTCACCTTGGCCAGGGTTTGCTTCTCCATTGCAGGGTCTTTGCTATGCCTACCCCACCTACCTGCAGAGCTTACACACAGCCCAGACACCCAATGCACAGCAGGGCCCAGTGGATGTCCCGATTTTTCCAATGCCATGTTTCAATCCCATTTTAAGGGATTTTTTTTAAGGATTTAAGGACTGAGAATATTTTTTTCCCCTAACCCAGGAGTTAAGGACTGAGAATATTTTTTTCCCCTAACCCAGGATCAGTGCTTCACCTAAACAGCAGAGGGCATGTTTACTCCAAGCATTTTATAAACATTTCATGAAACCTCTTGGTCACTGAGTTAAAATAAAATACTGACATATTTGCACATGCTGGTAGCAGATTCAGCAGCATGTTCCTTGCTACCACACTCAAAAAAAATTACAATTCTCTGAAAAAATGAAATGAATTACAGAGATATTAGGTGAACTCATTTTTTAAGGAAAATGTATATCACCCATCTCCTGACTAGGTCAACATTACTTTGAGATTTTCAGAATGACAGACTGTGGGATGTTCCTGGAACTGCGTTGTAGCACTCGACACCTTCCTGCAGATGAAGTAGGTCACTTCTTGCTTTTCCAAAAGCTAATCCACCAYGTCTGTGCTGCTGCCTCAGGCTGTGTGACACCTGATGAGCCACCTTCCTGGTCTGTCTCAGCAATCCCTGACCCTTAGGGCAGCAGAACAGCAGTGTTTCCTCAGGGAAACATTTCCTCAGGGAAATTCTCAGGATTGTACTCATTCACACTGGGGTAACAGGCCAGGAGAGGCCTTTCTTACCAGTATTGCATAAGATTTTGCCAAGGAGGTGTTAGATCTACTCCTGAGATGGACAGCCTCAGGCAGTGGGTGAAGTGATCTGCCTAAAGCACTTGGGAATTCYTGGCCTGAGCTGAGTGGAGCTGGARCCAATGCTGTATCCACTCAGCCACGTGGACTGTGGGGGTGCTWACACACTACCCTTCCTCAGACAATGTTTCCTAGTGTTTATCTTGCTCTAAGTGTCTCTGAGGTGTTCTTGATGTGCTAAAATGTCACAAATGAAAAAAACAGAGCAAGAAGCCCAGAGTACGTACCTTGGCAAGAAACCAGCTCACCAAACAAACGATGGCACTACCAGAGACTTGGCCAGGGCTTCACCTCCCCTTTGCAGAGCTGAGACAGCAGAACACACACCAGAGGCTCAGTGACAGACGTGTGTCAACCAGCCAGCTCAGAACACTGCAGCTGGAGTTGTACAAAACGTCTGGAGCCGTGTCACAACCCTACACGTGAGGTCCATCCCAAAGCCAGCAGGAGCTGCTGCTGGATTTAGTGAGGTTTAGCTCAGTCAGATCTTTTGACTGCTGGAAGAACGTTCCCTCAGACAAGAGAGTATCCTGATGGGATCTGCAMAGCTGATTTATGAACCCCTCAGCAACACTGCAACTCCATGAAACGTTACAACACAGAATTGCAGGACAATTAGTTGTGTCATTGTCCAGGACCCCAGACTTGGGTGTGGATGATATTTACTGATTCACAAAGGCATACACCTTCCTTCCAGAGGTGGAGCTGCCTGYCCCTGTGCAATTAACTACAGAGCTGTGGAAAGGGAGACTTTGATCATTCTTAAGTACAGGTTACTCCTATCGACTCACATGGCTACACATGGTCTTTAAGTGCCTGCTCCTACACTCACATACTTAATGAGTGAGTTCATGACTTCTGCTTTATCAAACTAGAGCACAAAGCAGAAAACTAGGGGGAGAAAACTAAACCYAATTTCCATCTTTATGCACTTTCATTAATATTAATAAACAAASAGGAAAAAAACAGTCGCCAAGAGATGCTGTTTCTAGTCTAAGCTACAATGGATAGGAAATTCTCCAAGGCCTGTGTGAGCAAAAACCCAGTAGTGGAATTTYAGTTCTTTTAAACAGTCACCCAGAATTTCAGTTTCCTGCTCTATATGTTTTCCACATTTCCTCCTGTCTTTGTGTCCCCTTGAAACAAAGGCAAAATGTTTTCAGAAAGCTGGAATCTCCTGAAGAGAATCCACTGTGGTATTTTATTAAAAGCAAACAAAGTGAGATCTGAAAGGCCACAGTCGCTGTGGGACTTCAAGGGTACAATGACCACCTTGCTGACTTCTGGTGCAGTGAGTGGGGTGCAGGTAAAGTTCACTGTTTCCAGGTAATTAATACATCTGCTTTGCATTTAGAGGCTGCTCTCTCTAGTCCAGCCAGGGGTGCACATTCCCAGGCACAAAGGGAAGAAGAGGGATGTCAGGGTGACAGTCCTGTGAGAGAAGCCAGGTGACTGACTTGCCCTGTTATTACCTGGCTGTAATGATCACTCCACCTCAATGACACAGGACAGCACCTCTGAGTGTGGCTGGCTGGGACACAGCTCTTCTACCAGCACTGYCAGTGCCTATAAAACCCCTCACGAGCCTGGCCAGGGGGCAGGACAAGGCACTCCCTCTCCTTGGGCAGTCACGTTGTGTCCAGCTGTCCTGGGAACTCATCAGTGGATGCTCCATGCAGAGCAGGGAAAGCAAAACCAGGTGAGATTCGCACACTGCCCACAGGTTGGACTGGAGGGGTAGCACGGCTGTTTAAGTTTCTAAGCCCAGCACATGAAGCCTACAAGATCCATGGAGCCCTGAATCAGGCTCTGGTGTTGGAATTASCTTGTTCTGATTTAATGAGAAAAGACTTTGGCTTCCCAGGCTGTAACATAGCTCATTTATTGTAACAGGTTTGAAAAGGAGAACAAAAACACCCATAATGAAGGGGAAGTGAGAACAGCAGTGGCTGAATACCCCAGACYTTTACAGACCAGACTCCCCATGTCCTCTTCTAGGGCTTCATGAGCATTTCATGACCTGCCCTTGCTCTGCTCCCTCCAGATGGTTTTATTTAGTTTTTATTCTGGGTATCAGCAATCTCTTCCCCCCAGTATTTCTTATCTAGACCARCGAGATGACCACACTCAATCCTGGCTGCAGATATACTAAAACCAGCACAAAGCAAGGGCCATGCTGCTCCTTGCAGGGCAGTGTGACCTTAGTAAGTCACCCCCACAATTGTTCTCTTATTTTCTCTCCCTCTGCCATTTTAAATATTTGCTCAGCCCCAGAGAGTTTTGCCAGAAGCAAACCTGAGCTTTCCAAGCCACGAGGAGCACTGTGGCTCCTGGGGACTGCAGTGCAGTGGCAYGGTCACCTCCAGTAAGTGACCTGGGAGATGCAGGATGGGGCTTTCTGAGTGTAAATCAAGTCACTCAGAAGGCACACAGTTACTCCCCCAACAGCAGGCTGATACCATAGCTAAGACTTCACACTGGTGTTTTGGTTTAATTAAAAAAGCCTTTTTCCACCTGAACTTCAGAACAATAAACTGTACCATGGTAAAAACCCAGATCAAACCATMTAAAAGACTAGAAATGCTGACAGCGCAAGGATTCAGATACCTCCCACTGGAAATTCTAAACCATCTGTTTTTCCTCCTGTTGAGCAAAGTCAAAACACAGAAATCCTCTGCAAAAGAACAGTGATTTTCACCCAGCTCTGTATAATCAGCTGTCTCAGCCACCTGTTACTCCCCAGGGCAATTTTCAGTGAGTGAAAGCTTCCAGAGACTCAAGTATGATAATGGGCACAGCTTTGTAAGAAATACACGCACTTCCAGTTGTTACCTGTGCCTGGCAAAATGCTCTTTGGAAATGCAAACRCACCCCTGGGAATAATGCAGTTTTAGTGGTAAGGACCATTCAATCTCCAGGATGTCAGCTGGGTCAAAAGCTTTCCTTTAGTACACATCCCAACACAATTCAAATAAAACTGAGCTTTCAGGTTAACAGCTTAGGTGGTGCACCTCAATTCATTTCTCTCCTTTTTTTTTATTTTCCCTCCAGGAGGAAGATCAGCTCTCTTTTGCAGGATGTTTATAGTGCAGCCTGGCTAACAGCATCCGGGAGATCTGCTAGGACACAGATATCCCTGTTCTCCAGTGAGCTGTCCTGTCATCACCACAAAATCACCGTCTCTCTCAACCATGTCCTTGCCTGTGTCAGCAGAAACCTCTTTCAGCCTTGGAACAAAGTGTAGGAATGCTTTGTGTGGCCACTACAAACAGGAAAAAAAAAAACCAAACCAAGATCCTGCAAGCTCTTAATCGAGGAGAATTAGATCCATAACTCATCATGATTTTAAGCTTTTTCAGGCTCTCTCAACAAGGCACTCCACGAGAACAGTGGTTTCACACTGCAAAAACAGTAGCATAATGTACCATAATTTGGGTCCACCTATCTGCATCAGCCTTGCCTATGATACAGGTACAGTCACACAACTGGTTTCACCATTTTCCTTTCAAGGAAACATTGTCTTTTCTGATTTTCTAGATAAAGTGCTGGTTGTGGTACGACAACATTTGCTTCAGTGATTTAYAACACAGGCCTGACTGGCAGCTCAAGCGTGCATTGCCAGGACAAGGGGTGTTTTTGGTATATCAGCAGCTGGCACACATACATTATTGTTGGGGTGAGGTCCCAGGTGGGAAACATAGACTGAGGGTGGCTATGTGAGCCTCCAGCTCAGCAGGAGCTTGTTACTGAGCTGCCTGCACTGCTCCCACTACAAGAGATGCCCAAACTCCAGTTCAAGACTTGGCAAAACCAGAATTGACACTTGGTGTGACTCACAGTGAACTGGCACCCATGCCTGCGAGCAGTACAGACCCACCAACTCCCCTTGSAGCAAAGGCATTGCAAAACAGACACGTTCTTGGGAAAAAAATAATCACAAGGATGATTGTCTCTACCTCCATGCTAGTATTGGGGTCAAGGTCATCGCACTCTGATTCCTCTGAGCTGTTTGTCTCCTTGTTTGGCAGCATGAAGAGGAAGAAAGAGAACAAGAGATTAGAAAAGAGATTGGTTAGTCAGGGCAGAGCAGCACAGCTGCGAGCAGCATGGAAATGGGTAACAGTAGGGAAAATGCTCCTAAAACACAAACAAAAAACAAACCGACAACAAATCAAGGGAAGCAAAGGCAAAGACATGCTTTTGCCAGAGAAGCAGCAGTGGTTCTGCAATTCGTTCAGGTAGTGAAAACAAGGAGGAAGCGAGAGGAGGAAGAACTGTGCCACCATGCTGGAGCAGCCGCTTCCCTCGGGCGCAGTCCTTCCTCGTCCAGAGGGTGCGAGGGCACCGGGGATGCAGTGCCAGGGTTCCTCCCTTTGCACATGCCAGGGCTATTGCACCAGGCTTGTAAGACAGAAAGCCTCTGCAAAGGAAAACACTTAATCATGGGCTCTCCTGGAGAGGGGTGGATCCAAAGGACATGCTCAAGTGCTTTCCTGAACCAAGGCTGGGCTTTGGTTGTGTCAAAATCACAACAAGTGTTTGCTTGCCTCTGTTGGGAGGGAAAGCCCCAGATTAGTCCTGAGCAGGCCTCATGGTCGCTTTATAGGGATGGATCCTCTGAGTTGGAGAACAGTAGTCAGGYACCCAGAGCAGAAGATGGAGCTTAACCCCACAGTTCTCAACCTTTTCCATACTGGGAGATCTCAGAGAAAGAGAGAGAGACGCAGACACACAGACACACACACACACAGACACACACGAGACCTTCTCCTGGCAAGACAGAGTCAGCAGCTCTGCCCTGTCTGATAACATGGAAAGAAAAAGGTCATTGAGACCATCTCCCTCGACCGAAAACCTCAAGCATCCCCAGGATGGGAACCCCTAATCTTAACATCTRGTGAAATATTGACCTAAAGAAAAATCAGCTTCAGCAAGGCCATTGGTTCACCCAGYGGCTCTCTCACTGCTGCAGCTGCTCTGATGAAGCTGCAGATTAACTCACTGGTGTCCCAATTTTAAGTTATTTATCTATGTATATATTTGGGTTTTTTAATGAAGATTACTTACTTGCATGTGGGATGCCAGGAAAAAAAAAACCCAAAAAAAACAAAGACTGCATTTTATCTTGCATGCAAAAATCCTGCTAAAATGGATACTACAAAAAAGGAACAAAAAAAAATATAACTGAAGTTTAAAAAAAAAAGAACAACAAAAAAACAAAACCCAAACTTAAAATTGCCACCCCCTCCCTCTCTYGGGAGAGGATGCTACAGGGGGTGGAAAGGATGGGAAGCAGGAGAGCAGCACAGAGCTTTCAGATGGCCTTACTCACTTTAACAGAGACTTTGTTCCCCAGAATATCCTTGGATTTACGTGGCCCATTGGCTTCATTTTTGCCACTGCTCTCCTTTTCCGCCCGCTTTCTCATGCGCAGGGTATGCCATGAACATGACTTCCTGTTGTACCAAAAAACGCAGCAATCAAATGGCAAATCATAGCAGGAAGAAAGGTTTTGGAAAGGGGAACCAGCATCCACATTTGCAATTACTGCAATTCCCTAGAAGGTGAAAGCCACCGGCAGGCAATATGCCTGTCTCAATCTCAGCAATGAGAGTTGAAGTTAAAAACCAAACCAAAGAATTCTGCAAAGCAGATGTTGTGCCACACTTGCTGTTTAAATGCATGGAGCAGGAAAAAAAWGTCCATGATGGAAGCACAGGCAACTAGAACTTGGTCATCTGTTTTCAGGGACTTTGCCACAAATAGAAATTTATTTTAATTTGGTACATTTAAAGACCAATTTGGTCCTCGGTCGTGTTGGTTAAAAGCAGTGTAACAAACATAAATACATAAGAATAGTCCTAATAGATTACTCAGTGCAGCAAATTTTAAAAACCCAAGAAATTCAAGTTGTTGCTCACTACATGTTGCTCAAACAGCTCAATAAATTGGAGCTGCATTATTAACTTTCCAGGAGATAAGTCATTTCCTAGAATGACAAGCTCTGCTGTGCCTCTCAAGACCAAGAATTTCCCATTTGACTTTGCCAATCCAGTTAGAGAGGACATCAGTCATTTCCAGTAAATTTTTCACCTCTTATTACTGCTCCTATGGCCTTATTCTTGGAAAAAAAAAAATAAAAGACCAATGTCACCCTTTGTAAGAGCAATGCTGTGTTGACAACAGAATTGCATACCAAAGCAGACATAAGAAATTAAGGAAAAACCMAAACAGTTCTTGATATGGATTTCATTTGCTTTAAATAGTGTACAGGTTGGGGGGGAATTTGGGGAGGGGTATGTTGTCCAAAGCATAAAGCTCTCAAAACAGCAGTGTGATGAGCTGGGATCCAGGTTCAAAGCATCTGCCCACCTTTAAGTCATGCAAATTTGATTTGCATGTTTAAGCCCAATGTTTGGCACATGTCACGTCTACAGTACCTTGATACATTTTACAAAGGAAGTTGTATGAAATCCAGGGATCACCTGTGATGCCAATAAAACGCAGTATGTTAGCAAGGTAGGACCCACAGGATGCCCCACACAGCCGACGCTCCCCCGTGAACACTGCGTCTGACTCCTACGCGCTCCCTGCTCRTACCTCAGCACATGATGGAGCTACACAATAGCTCAGTTAAAGAACAAGAAAATGCTGCTTCAAGACTGAACTGGGGCATGACAGCTGCTTTTGCAACCAGGATTAGAGTCTGCACTAACTCAGTCTGTTTGGGCAGTCGTGTTTGAGCACCAGAGCACCCTGCAGGGCTCAGACAGGCACTGAGCGCTCACTGGTATTTGGGAGTTTCTGGAGAAGGTCCAAATGAGAAGTGGGAGCAGAGCAGGGGAAGTTATCCAACACTTTAGAACTGTTATGTTTTCCTTTAGGGCACATAAGAGTTAAGAACATGGCTAATGGACTCCCTGACCTATTGGTGAATGATTCATGGTGCCAACACTACTGGATCAACCATATATTTTGTGTACAGTATTTGTCACAGAAAAAACAGTTTTATTACTTAAACTAATTAGTCACTGTGATCTGGCAGACTAGGTAGRGTTGCAGATATCAAGGCTCCAAGGTTGTTTTTTACTCATAGGACTCCTATTATTCAAATAGCTTTGTATTCAGGGTTGTTTTAGCTGTTTGAGTCTGAAAACGTCATTTAGGACTTTAAATGTCACTGCAGTCAGAAAGAGAAAAGTGCGATTCACGTGTCTTTAAAATTTGTTACACCTTCTCGGCCACAATGCCTCTGCCTACAGAATTTGATGCAGAATTTTACTGTACAGCTGCCATGAAATCAGTCCTGGCCAGGAGTCTGGTACTGTCATTGATTCAAAGGGTGTGTGGTTGCAATCTATGACTAGAGAAGAACCYGGGAATGGCCGTGGCGGATGTGCAAGAGATGTGCCAAGCAATTCCTTTGGCTTAACATGCARTTCCAGGTAGCATTCATTACTGACTGACAGGTAAAGCCATCATTTCTCTTAACTGAAACGGCAGCAGAAATCAGATTATTATTTTTAGTGAATCTGTCACAAAATCCTTCCTTGTGTTCAATTCTGCACCTTGAGGTATTTGTGTAAGGTAACACAGTTTGTAGCATACATCATGCATTACCATCTAGTCATTTTAGAAGTTAAAATAAATCAACAGGTATTACTGAAAAGAGGGTTGTACCTTCTGTATTTAATACCAAAAAACCACTTTCTTGCATTAGTCATTTCAGACTGACAAATTTCTAAAAATCAGAAAAGAAAAATATATATCCACACATTTGTTAAATAAGCAACAAAATATTATAAACAAAAYTRAAAACAAAATAAAACAAAATCAAACAAAAAAAGGGTCAAACTAATTCTTTTACCTCATTAAAACATGCTCATGGTGAAAATTTATTTTACATATTTAAAATAGTACATTTAAAATTAGTTACATTACAGGTACAATGATGAACATTGCGACTATCCATTATATTGCACAATCTGACTTCATCAATATGAGTTTGTTTCATTTTTTTTTAAATAGTGCAAAATACTTTATACAGGAATGTACTTGGATGGGGGTCTTGCAAACAAAAAAATATATTACAAAAGATACTGCAAACAGAAAAAAAACTCAAAACAAATTAAAAAAAAAAAAGATACAAGCTGTACAAGGAAATTGCCATAGACAACAAAATCTCTCCTCCTTGAGAAGCRAACCTCAGTCCAACACAGAGCCTGGATTTTTGTGTTTGTTGTTTTTTTTTTTTTAATCTAGATGCTGTTATAACCAATATATAGATTAGTAACTTAATACAACATAAATATAAGTCCAGTCCAAGCAGGTCCATGTTGGTGTAAAATGGTGTCACGTAAAGCGTATCTTTAACCGTCTATGGTTTAATTTCTCTCCAAAGTATAAACAAAATCCCACAAAATGAAAATAAGCAAAACCCGAGCTATCCACCATGGCTGCCCGAYGCTGCGGATTGACCACTCAGCTTGTTCCAATGGCACTGTAGATAAAAATCAGCAGGATTTCCCTACCATTTGGGTTTGTTTATTTTTATTTATTTATTTTCCTGAAAATATCCACATAGTGCTCCCAGTGAAGCCAATATGGCACTTACTTGATGCTTCCATCGCTATTATCTGTGGTGGATTTAGGGAGGGGASCCAAGATACTGCCAGGGATCCATCCTTCAGCGGCTGGAGAGTGGTCGTTTGCGGGCTGGTACACCAGGAACATGTTCTGCTGGTTGATAGCAAGGATCTGAACCACCTCTCCTTGATTCACACAGATCTCATCCTCCTTCAGTGCATAGTAATCTTTAATCACCACCATGGAAGAGGTCCCATTGCACCCTCCCAAATCAGTCTGAAAACGGACACAACACAAACCGGTGAGCGGGCAGTGCGGAGGAACCTGCCCTTTCYGGCAGCGGTCCCACTATTCATGTCCAGCCTAGCCAGACCAGGGAGAAAGACACAAAACACTTGAAGTTCACATTGGCAGAAAAAAGATTTTAAGGATCTGAAAGGTGGCAGTAACCTAATACAAACCAGTCTCCTATTTCATGTCAGATTTCAGAGCTGCTAATGCCTGGGCCCCRGGTGTTCTCATCTGCTGGGTGTTACAGATGAATGGCCTGTGCTGAGCCAAAGGGAGAGAAAGACCAATGAAGGCTCAGCGTWAGAAGCTGAGTGAATACTCACAGTCAAATACTGAAAGTGGCTTTGGTCAACCTCTGTTAGCAGCAGGGTCCAAACACAGCTGGTRGCCACTGACTCTTCGGTGGTTTGTATGCAGCTCCCATGTATACAAATTATAACCTTTAGCTGACACCCTGTGACCTGTTACGTGGGAAGAGGTCTAAACTCTTCCCCACSACAGGCTTTTTCATGAATGGGTGGTTATTAGAGATATTAGAGAACAGATATAAGAGAAGCCTGAATATTGCTTCTGCCAGCACTGCAAATGGATATCTAGTTCACCAGATCGGCAAGCACAGTGCCCTGACAAACACTGTGATSAGTGCTCCAGGGTCAGGCTCTGTCTGTTTCCCAGATGAAGTGCCATCCRTGTGGATGCCAGAGCTCTTGCATGAGCTGTTTAATCCCCAATCACGTTTTACCCCATGGCTTCAGTTTGTTGATTCCCGTTGACCTGATTAGCTGATAATTAAAGCTAACRTCACGGATCACGTATACGACACGTGCTGTGAGATCATGTTTTATTRGATGAGCTCAGTACCTTGCTTTGTTCATACTTGTCTCCGGGCTGTGAGTGCTCATACCCTGTGCTGCCRTTGGAGGTAGATATCTTCAGGGGTGGGAGAGAGGGGTTACGGCTTGTAGCCTTCAAAGGCTTCTCAGACCCTACTGGGATGGAAGAATGGGGCCGGCTGTTGGGCTGRGGGACCCTGCCGGCCTGGGGCCGCAGCACCGCCGAGCTCTCCTTGCGCTGGTACTCGATGGGCGACTGCAGCGCTGCAAGAGAGGACAGGAATCAGCCACACGCTCCCAGCAGCCTCACCAGGGCTGCAGAGGTGTTCAAACAGCTGGGATGGCTCAAACAGAATGGATCTGTACGCTGCAAACCAAACAAGAATGGGAGATGATGCCCATGGAAACACACAGCGTGTCCATGGCTAAATAGGACAGACACATTACACTGTGCATGAACTGAACACTCCAAGCTGTGAAGAACAGCTTCTCTAACCAACACAGTAACTGAGATAACATGTTTGCCATTTACAACATATATAATTGCATTCATTTTCTTTAAAATCGCACAAATGGATCACACCCTGTAGTCAAAATAAATGGAATTCTGAACAAGAGATGCACAGCACAGTGAATTTTGCTAACATCAGAAAACACAGGTCAAGACCTCTAAGTCTCATCTGCATACTCCCAAGAAAGTGTAACTACTAAATACTCTTCAGACATGATGCACTGCAACTGGGCTCTCAATGTGCTTTCTACATGAACTGCTGGAACTGGCCAGCAAGTGAGGAAGWATAGGTGGCACCAAGACATTATTCCCAGCAGTCCAAACCTCTCCAGAAAACACCCAACAGGCAACACTAAACAGCTTCATAAGCCATAAAAAAGAGTYTGCTTGTGAGAGTAGATTTTATAGTCATGGAGAGAGATCTTGCACTGGGAAAAGGAAAGATAAAAATTCCAGATTGTAAAGAAATAAATAATTTGTTATGTTTGGAGGAGAAGGGATCAGGGGTGGGACTCACAGTGAATGAGAAAAGAAAGATTTGCTGGGCTCAGACTACAAGCCCCAGATCTATGGGCTTGGTTTTTCGCATGTCATGCAGCTTTAAACAGATGATTTATAGTCAGTTAATACTGTGTACATGCACCAGACTAAACCTACTGGAATGCAGAGAGACTAGTCTWGCAAGAGGCAGACAGAGGACATAATGTCACAGCATCAGCCCCACCAGGGAACCACAACAGAAGGAATGTCTTTCCCAACAASATGAAAAGGAAAGAAAAACAGAAAAGCTCAGTGCCATACAGCACACTCTCTAGCACTCCCTTTCCTAAGAAAGGCAGGACAACTCAAGAAATCACTTCATCCTCAAAGAATTCAACTCAAAAAATCACTTAATCACCAAAGAACAAATGACTAAAAAAAAATCAAGGAAGATGCCAGATCAACRTTTTCTTCAGAAGGACACAAACAYAGATCTGTAGCAATCTGGAAGATTACTTGGCTCCAAAACCTGCGTGGTGACCCTTATCACAAAAGCAGACTGTATTTATGCCACAGTGACTGCCAGTTTCACTTGCTTACCTCAGCTGCAGCTGGAAATGGTTTGGTCCTGCKGCAGATCAGCCACAGAGGGCAAGGAAGGCTGGGGAGAACTTTGACAATGATTCTGACAGTGACATTTTTCTATTGTACACAGTAGATTACTGCAAGGTCTTTAGCAGCAAGATCTGAATGGATATTTATCARTCCATCTTGAAACAATCTACTGTGCTCAGTGATTTTGAAGGGTAATTAGTTGAGTGTCCACTACTAATTCCACCATGAACTACCCACAGTCATGCCAGGTTCCAGCCTCCTGTTAAACATCCGTCAGTATTCTTAGAAGCTTCTGGCAAAAGTCAGTGTTCACCTACTTGYATGTTCTCTCTTTCTCTCTCAATTCCCCCCCCCCACAAAATACGATTAAAAAAAGGTACAGATGAATGGCATTTTCCTTGTGAAACATATCCAGCAGTGACATATTTTCTTTACAAATTGCTTCCTGAGGAACAGTCACAACAGCCCATCATTTGATGCACAGACTGTTTCTCARGCTTAGCAGCTTTTACTTTTCCAAGGAAAAATATTAAAATCTTGACTATTACAATTTTACATTAATGAACTTYGGATGCAAATCCCATGCTCTGTACATAGCCCCTACTCTTTAAGACTTCCCTGGTCAAGAGAGAAAAATCAGAGACAGCTTGGGCAAGAACTCAAAGGGAATGTTTTCTTATTAAGTTTATGCAGCATTGACTCAATGTGGATTTAATATGATTTTAAGGACAGAAAAAATCTGCTTTAATGAAATGCAAAGCTAAAGAACATATTTAAAGATTAGTCAGCCTCAATAAGATTACATTCTAAAAGCCACTTAAAATGTTCTGGACTGGACAGGCTCTACTGGATACGATATAATTTTCTTGGATCTTATTTATAGTTTTAAGGTAAATCCTTAAGCTTGTGTTTTAATATAAATTTATTTTTACTTTTGCTTTAGGGATAGTGATGATTATGTTCCCAACCCATCGAATTGCTTGCTGGCCTCACAGAAGATAGGCTGAATAGGGGCTATGAAGATGCCTCAGYAGAAAAAGAGGCTCATAGGGCAGTAAGTCCTTGGAAGATAAGAGGGAATACATAAAAAATAAAAAGAACAAGCAAGAAAGATACAGAAGAGACAGAAAAACCCTGCATTAGTGTCTGTGGAGTTCTCACAAGGCTTTTTAAAAAAAAATCTGTAGCTTAGTGAAACGTATTTTTTTTCTAATAATTCCTCATTCAAAGCCAACTGTACTGACATAAACCCATCAAGTTTTGGTACCAACYGGTCAAACTGGAGAACTGAGACTGTTCATCTCACCAGCATATTAAAGGAATAATTTCACAATGGTTGTGTGAGGCCGTTTCTATTCCAAGTCACAAAAACCCAATTGCTCTGCAAACCCCACTGTGAAAGCACCAGCAACAAAAGAAACATTCGCTGAGGGACCTGAGACAGGAACRTGAACAGGAACCCAGCAGCTGTCCCAGGAGGGAGCCAGGAGCTGCCCAACCAGCCCACGAGGTGCTGCTGATGAAGCCAGGCTGTGCTCCTAATGCAGGATGGGGCTCCAGCAGCCTCTCAGCGTGGGCTCCAGGGCCACACTGCAGCTCCAGTCAGGCTGGCCTGTCCYTTCTCCCACTCTCATCTTCCTGCCACGCAGTGCTGGGCAGACAGAGACCTCTGTACAGTGGCACTGWGGTRRTCTCTGTTCAAAGACCAGYAGTAAATTATRATTCCTTCCTATTTATGGAATTATRACTCCTTCCTATTTCCTCTCWGGACACCAACTGACCCACTGCTCAATGACAGGCAGACTGCACTGGAGTTTTCTCCCTGGGATTTTTGCTATGAAAAAAAGTCACTCAGTAATTTTCTCATAGAGAAAACAAAGACATTCTAAATCCCATTTGGTGTCACAGTTTGGGAAACAGAACAAAGACCATGTACRTACCATTTAGGAAATCTCTTTGTGTGTCCAGGACTTGGTTGATGTCCTGTACCCAAGCTTGTTGAATTTCTGGGTTAGCTGCCTGCAAAATGACTCTCTCTGATGTTTCCCGGCTCATTAGAGCAAACTTGCAGGGATCATTGTCCACATTTTCTTCAATGATAAGGTAGTTCATCTGAAACAAGCCAAGGTAAGCATGTTACAGSGAGCATGAGTTAACATTACACAAGAATCAAAACTGTTGTGAAATGTTCCTGAAAATAATTGAGTCCAATAACAAACTGTTAGATCATAATCACAAGAATTTGTCCCATCTAGATTTACSCAGATAAATCTAAATCTTAAATGTGATGCTTAATAAAGCTCTGACAGATGTACCAGACATCCACCYGCCTTGTCTTGAATTACAACTTCTATTTTAAGGTAACACAGACCTGACTGGTGTGCTTAAAATTTACTGTAACCCATAAATAGAGCAAAAATATTCATATTAATTTGTTAATATAGTCTCTCATTCCTCCAAAAATAAGTGTATATAATAAGTGTTTATATTTCTTATCCTCTGATAAGAAAATCTCAGCCATTAGCACATYTTAAAAATGAAATGGACTGTGCACAGGGATATAATGAAAAAAAAAATTCTCCCATGATGCTCCAACAGATCTTATTTCTAGCAGATTAGACTCATCCGTTTGCAATCACTTCACTTGACTGTAGCCACAGATAYTCTTTCTGGAAATCACACGGATGGCAATTTTGACTGCTGTCCCACCCTTGTGAGGCTTCTGTTTTAAGTGTACTCATAAATTCAGCTTTTCCTGAGATAATCAGGATAGTAAACAAGAATAGGTTGACACAGCTTCTCAAAAAAAAAAAATCCCAAAAAAAACAAGAGAGGAAGAGTCTTCATGCCACAAGCAGACACCTCTGAACACCAAGGCAGTAATGTCCGCAGAAGAAGTTAATCTCCAGTTGTTCAGAGTGTCTGTCAAGGTTTGGAGACACCCACTCTACACCACAGAACTGTCCAGTAACAAAACTGCAAGATGGAATTACCCTGTTCCTTTGCTTCTGGGGGTCCCTGGGAAGTTACAGTGACCTGCRGGAACTCCCCTAACACGGGGACAAGGAAAGGGACAGACAGTGAGCCCAGACAGTGCTCTTCCTCTTGATCTGAGGTCTTTTTCCTCTGACAGCCAAAGTAATCCTGATATGACTCCAGGTAAAGACATGCAGATTAGAGCCCCCTAACCTCCTATTTGTGTCTCAGGGAGATGAGAAAGGGTTCGTTAATGCAGGACATTGTGCTGGAGCTTCTGTCCCAGTTTGGGTGTGACAGACCTTGGARAACAATATTTGGAAATCTCATCTCCCCGACAGACCAGAACAGCTGCCTTTGAAGTCATGTGCACTTCTGACTCTGTGGCTGGGACAGAGGAAAGAAATGGAATCTGTGGCTCTGGCTCAGGTGGAGGCTCAGGAGGAGCTGAGGATGTGCAGAGCTCGGGGATGCAGGAACGCTCCTGGCTCCATGGAGAGCCACAGATCTGCTCTGTGGGAAACACAGAATCACAAAAGCTGCCCCAAGCTGAAGTGGGGGCTGGGAGGGAGGCTGTGAGAGCACACAAAGCCCATGCTGAGGTGGGGGAGACACACATGAGGCCAGGAGGGATCCCACAGGCACTCAACAGGAGAATGAGCTGTTTGCCAARTGGAAGAAAAGGGGCTGGAAAATCATCACACGAAAATTTTAAACTCAGGCAATGGGAACAGCATTCCTTTCGCAGGCTGTTTAACTAGAAAAGCAACTCATACCCTTGAGGCAAGCTAATTTTATTGACATTAGGAGAGATTTATTTTTCTCTCTTTATCTACAATATACAATTCAGGAATTGTTTCCTGCAGATAAAAGCCTCATTGTTATATATACAATAAACTGAAGTAAAAATGATTCACACTATTTCCATCTCCAATTTTAATAATGATTTAAATCAGCAGAAAGATAAAATCAAAGCTGATCATTTAAATCAAGATGATTGTTTATTTGYACACTTTAGGCTTTCCCTTTTCAGGCTATTATTCGGTTGGAAAGTATAAAATATATTGAACTTGCAAATGGATGTAGGCTTTTCAGTAAATGCTGCTGTTTCCATCAGCCAAGAAGATGATCTCATTTCAGTAAATATGCCGTTTACCATAAATTTGTTTAGTTATATACATTAATATGCATTATTTAGGCTGATAGTGCTCTCTTCTGTTTCATGTTAATGTACCATTTAAAGCTTACAGCAAAAACAATGCATTCTCCCATGTCTCTTAACCTGTATCTTTGAAAAAGAAATCAATCCCAGACTGGTTTCTCAGCTTTGAACGACCCAGAAATTCAAATGATTAGTGATTTTGCTCTTTCTGCAGGCACAGCAAAGGCTGTTCTACCAGATGTGCAGCACTCATTCGCCTTCATTTTCCATTTTACAGGTTAACTGTGCATTTGTTAAACAAAGAAAGAAGTATTTCCCCTGGTTATTTTCAGTTTTTACTTCTAGCCCCAGCCCCATAATCTGGACAAATTATTTTAAACCAAAATTAATTTCTTAAAACTCTCTTTATAATTTAGCTGGCTTTATAATTACTCACATCTGTATTTTTAGAACTATGTGYGGTTTTGTCTTTGAAACATTCTTGCAACATCCATATTTGTACCAAGARCTCCAAATTAGAGAGAGGATTTCCAGTAATATCATATAAAGGCTTAATATTGATTTAAAGTTTGGTCTAAAATGAGTGTTTTGGATGCTGTACCTTCACCTGCCTTTTATGATTATGCATAAAAGCAACTGCTATAAGCTTCCTTTGACTTCTGCAGGTTTTGTAGCAATATTTGCTAATTCAGAGTTATGAATGATACAGGACCTGCCCTGGCTGTGTTCTTTGTAAAAATTACTGAGTACATTTAGACAGCCACTGGTTTATTTAGAGATGGTGTAAAACAACTTCTGATCCACTGAAAATGCARATGTTTTCTGCACATTGCTGTCCCCCTATGACAGGATGACCCTTACATGATCATTAAACAGAACAAGCTTCTCCCTCTGCTTTCCTTACCTTTATGCTTTTCTTGAACATGTAGCCAGGGGTTAGAGATCCTTTCCTAAGGAGYTCACTGAAGATCACTATTTGCTCAAAGAGAAACACCCTGCGCTCCTTGGGTCGAGACTGAACCCCCGAATCCTGCTCCGTCACGTAGAAGGTGTCCTGCTGCAGCAGCTTGCCTTGAGCTGTCAGTTTGCCCTGAGGAGCAGACAAGGCACAAACATTACACTCGACCCACCGTGATGCCACAAGGTGATATGCTCTATTTTCTGCAGTCCAAATTTTCTGGGCAGCCCTGCATTCATTTGAGACACATCCCCTCTAAATTAYCAAAGCAGCAATCCTGCAGGTCGTGCCCTCAGCTGAAGACAAATAACACAGGTTTTCCTTGCTCTCATTGCCACTGATTGTGCACAAAAAAACAAAAGCAAGAGATCTCAAGCAGACTGTTTTGTATACTTCATTTCAAACCCTGTTCTCGTTATGCAATTTATTACTGTACAGCTCCAGCCACGAGCTCTCCACCATGCCCTAAACCAGCAGTCACTGACACAACACCTCTGAAGGGGCAGAAATCAGGACCTGCCTGTTTGCAGTGCATAACAGTAAGACAAACCTTAATTCATTCTGTAGATAACACCTCTCACCAAAGCCTACACTGGCTTAGGTACAAGCCCCAAGTTGTAACCTGTGGGGTTGTAACTCACAAGTCCCCTCCTGGATGCTGCTGAACTCGCTGGGAGCTGTTAATGTGTTAATGCCAGGTGACCTTACTAAAAGACAGAGCAGGCTGGTTTATCACTTATTTTGCTCTGGTAATAGATACAAGAAGTCTCATTAAAGCTTGCAGAAGCTTTTACAGACCTCACAGTCTGAAGAAACGATAGATTGTCACAAGTTTAGAGTGAGAGGTGCGAGACCACCCTCTCTCTGAACCCTCACCAAAGCATGCAGCTCAGCCCTGCAGAAGAACAAGCCCGAGGTAAGCAGTTTGGGTAGATCGTAGAGACAATCACAGAAAAACAATTTCCCTTGCCTAGTTATCATTACAAGCTAACACGTACCTCAAAGCCTTGGAGGCGACCCAGGTTCATCATGTCATTGCAACGTTTYGGTACAAGGCACATTAATTCAACTGCTTTCTGTTGAGGAAAAGGGATGTTGCATTATTACAAGAGAAYCAGAGGGTTCCTTGAAGCACAGTGTCAGATAATGAAGTTCAATAGCACAATTGCTGCAGTGATTCATGGCGAGGCCCTCATGAATAGATGTCTAAAAGAGGATGGTGCAGGACTAAAATGCAGGACTGCGCCATCATCTTTTAATTCTGATTTAAGCGAAGAGAAATACCATATTTAGARTAGCAGCAGGACCTTCAACTATTGTCAAAGGCATACTGGGGTTTTCATTCCTCCATACAAAGTCCCATTAGCACTATTGTCCAGGGCATGAAAATGTACCTCTATCTCGGAGCACTCCAGACCAGCTTTTTCACTGTATCTCAGGAAGTCCTGGAGAAAGCAGAAAGGTTTGCATTAAGGCACTTCAGAAAAGAGAGAACAAAAGGCACCAGTTTGAAAAGGAAAAAKGATATTCAGCATGTGATTTTCTGAGAAGAAACTTGCTAGTATTAATAAACTCATCTTCAGAGATTGCTGAATGTCATAACCACTTTAGAGATATGGAAAAGGGGTGGGGATGGTCGTTGAAAACATCACAAAAAAGACAAAGCTGGGCTTAGCCCTTGGGAATGCTTACTTGGTCCATGTCTTAAGCCACAAGACCACACACACACATGAGGATTTTTGTTTTCCTTTTAGCCCTGGTGCTGCTGGAGATCAGACATGCCTGATTTTAGATATTGGCTTCAGACCGCTCAGGATGAATTTTCAAAAATGCTGAATAATTGTCATAATGCATAAGTCAGCATAAACCAGAGTGGTCAGGCAACTTGGCAAAAAAAGTTGTGGTGGGCTCCCCAAATTTTAAGACAAATAAGTACTCTGKAAGTAAGTTTCTTCAGCTAATTTGAAGACATATTAAGAAATGGAGGCTACAGCATTTGCTAGAAGGATGCCATTCAGCACCAAAGACACACTTTAGCAATACACTTGTGTATCTTCATTTCTATTAAAAAAAATTGAAAGTTTGCTCTGAAACTACAGAAGAAGAAAATTCCTATTTGATGTGGATCCTTCTATAAAAAAATTCCAAAAGAAAATTTTAAGAAACAGAATCTGTTTACTGTTCTGAATAACAAACCACTYGCACAGATGTGGCCTTCTGCTCTCTCGGCCTACAGTAACAGAGACCCGTGAAAAATGCCCCTCTTTCCTCTTAATTTGATGAATTTATTCCTCAGTTTTGCACTATATCCAGTCTAGGCACTACCCAGCTCTAACAGCTTTTACCTCTTGTGTTGTTTGTAGACTACTGTTTTAAAAGTCTTGTTTTATTTGGGACAGAAATTAGTCTAARTCTGATTTAAAATAACAACATCTAATGCAACATGCAGATTACAGCTTAATCCAAATTGTATTTTGTCACTCACCTTGAGAAGAAGCTGATATTTAGTTATTCTTTGAATGGGTTTGATCAGAAAGTCACTGATGGTCAACCGTTGGCTTATTTCCTGCTGAACCTCCTAAAAAATGAGGATTAAAAACAATTGTAAACAATCACAGAGTAAGACAGAGGACATGATAAAATGTCTCAGCAGAGACTTATTTCCACAGAAARTTGGTCTTCCTTAATCTTTTGTTTGCAAGAGAGAATTTTTGAGGATTTAAAAATCTGGCATCTCCTATTTAGGCAAGGCCTGGGTCAGAGCCATGGCTGAGCTGGAAGGCGTTGGAAAGGGAGGATCCCTCCCTCTCCGAGCTGACCGAGCAGCCCTGCAAGGTCTGAGGGTCACTCTCTCCACTGCAGCGGGGATTAGCTCACAAATAAACCCTGCAGAACATGCCTCCCACCCTGGGGTGAAAGGAAACATCTTTCCCTTCTTTCACATCACTATCAAAATGTGCCCAGTACTGAACAGTTCTTGAAACACACAAAGTTAACTGGGGATTTTGGAGAGGCAACACCCAGCTCCAAAAGCTTTTACCTCCCCTGTTGTTTGTAGACTTACTTCATTGCATCAGAAGTAAGTGCATTTGTGGTACTCTGAGGGCCACACACAGTTAGTAAAAATTTAAATATTTATTAGAAATGAACTATATGAGAAACTGAAAGCAATTAAATAATGTTTTCTCCCTAGGCAGAGACCTCAGCAGCACGTGCAGCATGAAAATCTTCAAGAGTTTGTTTTAGGCAAACCCCACAGGTTCCAGGAGAGTCTCCTTGACCTGGGCTCAGAGCTGTAAGCAGCAGTAATGTATAAKGAGCCAGGCTTACCTCAAAGTAGGTTTCATACTCAGCCACGATGTACTCAGAGCGGGGCTTGTTTTGGCAATACACCACGTACATGTGCAATCGCCGCTCCTGTGAAGGCAAGAGGCACAGCAGCCACGTGAGAGATTGGCCACCCTCCTGTTATTAAAAGGTGGCAGAAAGTTGCTATCATGTTCTGCTTGGTCTTCCTTATTTTTGGTTTAATCAAAGATTTAGTTCGCTGAAGCAGGAAAGAAAAGTGGTAACAGGTTCTGTTCTCCACTTGTGCATTTCTGCAAGGAGAGCTTTCTGAGTTGTGGCCAGTGAGAGATGTTATACCCACACTGACAGGTTTGAAATTTCCTCWAGAGTTATACTCTGGCTAATATCTCATGAACATGTAAATTGTAGCAGTTGGCAAGTACCTGCCATAATTGTATTTTGGCAGATGTCCTTGGCCACTTCAGTTTTGTCCCCCAAATAAGCTGTCTGCAAGAAGACAGTGATTAATGCCTTAGTGCAATCRAGCTGCACACTGAAAATGCATAACTATAGGGATACTTTATGTTTAAATTCAGTTTAGATAAGTATTGAGTCGACACAAACAGGTGTTTTTGAAAAGGAGCTATCGCACCCTAAATGACAAAATACAGTACACAGTACTATAGTACAACAGAGAAAGTGCAAAAAAATAAAACTACTTACATGCTTAATAAAAAGCTGTGCTAAACGGTCAGGTTCTTGAAGACATTTTTCCAGTTCAGCCAGGAAAAAGCTGAAAGAAAGGACATCAATACTTCAGAATGCTTCCTTGGGTCAACCCAGCAGCAAACCAATCATCCTTCAGATATATCAGTGGCATTTTAGCTACAGAACTCAAAAATAAATGAAAAGGTAAGCTTGGCTTCAGCCCTTAGTGGTGGGATTTCTATAGCATTAGAAGAGGGCTGTGAAATGGGGAGGTCTTGCCTTGCAAGCTGTCTGCTCTTCTTCACTGTGACAGTGGTTTCAATTTTCAGAAAGTGCTGATCACTATCTAATTGCAAGAGCTGCTATCCTTCACTGAGAACTCCCAAAGTAAAACTCTACCAYTTACTAAAATACTTGTGAAAACTCAGCTTATGAAAGCTCCCTCTTTACCAGGAGTTCTCAGTTGCATGAGCAGATTTGAAGTACTGGTCAATGTGAAAAAGACGTGTTTGTTTCCATCCACCGGAATAAACAAATCAACATGTTTTGCTGGTGGAGTTGTGGTACATTCTGTTTGTCACTGTTTCTAATTTCATAATAAATCATAATATGTAATTCACAATAGTCACAGGAATTCATAAACACCATCTCTATCTTGACATGCAGTTTTGGGGAGGTCATTCATTCTGGCTCAAATGCCCTTATCAGGAATATACCGGGATGCCTAAAACTTAAGGTAAAAACTTCAGAAATACCGGTAGATTTTTCAGTCTGGTAGGCAAATCCCAATGATCTCCCTGTCCATAATGTTCTTCTTTTTGACTTCTGTATTTCAGTCTCAAATGCCTCCATGGATTTGCTACAGTAGCTAAATWTGGTGAGAGGACATGCTTGCAATGRTCTGGTCCCAAGAAATCCCAGAACCTCAAAAATGATGCAAATTGGACAGATGTCCCAAATAAAAATCCCCATTGCTACCATTAGATACAGCTGCTTCCATAACTCAATCCTCTATAAATGCTACATTCATCAGCATTTAAATAGATTTCTTGACCCAGATACTCAGAACTAAAAATAGGGAATTCTTCCCTATGTGTCCCTATGTAGAGAAAACTCCTATCCTCACACTTCATCAAGGAATGGCACTGGCAGTAGTTAGAAAGGTGCTTAAAGGGGAACTAAACCAAACACTTACTCTTTGTGCCAGTCATAGATCTGGTGAATATTGCCAAATACTATTTTGTCTTTCCCTTTCATATCTTCAGAAACTCCTTTTTCTTCCATCCTCTTCATGAAGCCCTTCAGGATTAAGGATCAGTGATCAGCAAAGGGTTCATTTGAAGGGGGAGCATAAATATTTCTTCTTTTTTTAAGGAGCTTAAGTTTAATGTCAATGATATTTTACACTGAAAATGCTTAAAATATCTTTTGCACTATTTAAAACCAGAAACCCAAAAAGATACTTTAAATTACACAGTTTGCTTAAAATAAAACTTTAACCAATTTGTTTAGAATATTTGCAGTACTTACACAAACCATTATTAGACGTAATTGAAGTGACAAGTGCAATTGGGAGATAAAAGTTAAACAAAGTAGTTTATCAAAGCTCTTGGCTTCTCTGGTAAAAGGAAGAAAGCAGAATCTGTACAGAGTTCTTCCATTCATCACCATGAGTATTTTGTGGGAGCACAAAGCCAAGCAGTAAGCTTAAAGAGTCACAAGAATGGGATTTCTCGCACCTCCTGAGAGTTTCTTTGTAAGCCTTTGGAACACGACAGCCCTGTCAGGTTTGCCAGTGGTGCATGATGTAAACAGAACACAACACAAAGGTCTTCTAGTTTGAAAGCTGTTGAAAATCGCTGTTAGATAGGCTGGCAATTCTCCCTGGACTAGTCAATGCCACTAGTGAATCACATGCCTCCAGTTCTGAGTTCGTGCTGGGAAAAAAACTGAACCCTACACTGAGTTGGATCTGACAGATATCCCTAGGGATCACAGGATCTTTACAGGTCGAAGCTAAAAAAAAAAAGACTGTTTTTTAATGAAAAAAGGACTGTTTTTTAATGTAAAAAATCCCCAAACTCTCTTTTATCTGAGGCTGTTTTGCAAAAAAACAATTCACGGGCCACACATTGACCTCAATCCTGTCCCAGCTTCTGGAAAGGTACTCAGACACAGGATATAAGTCCAGGTGCAAACTCAAGTAATGCATGTGCTACCATTATCCAATATGATGGGAAGAAAGCATGAAATAAGTGATAGGAGCATAAATTATTCTCCACCAATGTCTCCAAGGCTRCATTACAGCAAAAAGAGTTTTCACAAGTCGAGTAGCCAAGAAAAACCTTTGCACACTGGAGTTGAACCTAAAATACAACATTTGCTAGATGGAAACAAAAATAGTTTCCAAAGGCATTTCTTCTTGTTTCTGTCAACATGAGAAGGGGACCATGGAAGCAGACTGCAAAATAAAGCAGTTTGTTTCTCATGCTGTATTTTTTCTTGTTGTCACTTGTCAGCATGGTGCTTTTTAGTGGGAAAACATTCTGCCTAGCAGGGTTTGCTTCAGCTCACCTCCACAACAGTTCCCAAGTCTTTGACGTAGTCTTTTTCAGTCTGTACCAGCTCATTTAAGACAAACCTAAATTAAAACAGAACACACAAGTATTTGACCATATTCCTTGATGTTACAGCCTGCTCCTGTACCACATGTGACCTCACCATAAAACCCCATCATCATCCAGATCACATAACACAATTCACCCTTCACTCAGAGCTCCGTGGAATGTAACASACAAAAATGCCAGATTTGAGGTCAGAGTAGTTTCAAATTTCTTAGCCACTCTTCCCTGCTATCCCTTTTGTCCTCCACATATCAGGATGGTGCATGAGCAGAGGCACAAACAGCTGCCTGTACCTTGAACTACCCCTCCCTGATCTCCTCTCCCATCCCCTACACAGCTCCCCAGAGAACGATGGAGACATGTCCTGACCCATTTTCAGCAAGCAGGAGAGGGTTTMTTGCCCTGCTCTATCTGGCTTTGCCCAAGATTCATCAATTCAGTTTCAACTTGGAAGTTTCAAACACTTGGAAAAYAAATCCCCTCTCCCATCATAACTAAGAGCTTACTCTTTCAGAGTAGGTAGTCTGTGTGTGGGTGTCGAATGTTTTAGCTCTGATTTCASAGCTAATAACCCTGGGTAGGGGAGTCATCTAATGAAGGCCTGATGCATACAAACAACARCAACTAAAAAAAGCCCCTCCTCAGTAAGTCAAACTGACTAATCACATAGTGTTCTTTCGAGGACAATTTCAAAAAGTTACAGCTTGCTGCAGACAGTTCGTGTCTCAATTACACCAATACATATGTTTGGCACATGACAAACAAMCTCCATCTGTGCTCAGGTTTGCTACAGCAGTAACAAGGCTAACAAGATAGAGTGCTTTCATGTCTGATCTTGCTCTGTCCACATCAATCACCAGACTGACCCTCTCGAGGTGATAGGGCTGAGGGCAAACAGTGCTAAGATAACAGCCTGGTTTAAAATACCTGGAGGGAAAAGAACAAGCAGTCTGGCATTGCAAGGAGAGACTCAGCTATGAAAGGCTATTGAGAAAATAAATCCTGCTCCTGCTGGGCTCCCTTGCTCAGACAAAGCAGAGGCGAYACTTTGGCCATGTGGCACAAAAAGGTCAAACAACTTCTTGTTGGTGGGAGAGTGAAATCCAGCCCCCCTTGGCAGCAGGCAGGGCTGGCAGCAGCCACAGCAGACCCTTGTGCTCTCTGGAGCGCTCTGCCAAGCTGTGCCTGGCAGCAAACACGTGTGGGGCAAAAGGCAAGAGGCTGTTCTTTCCCAGCAGTGGCTGCCTGAGCCACYGTGCCCTGGGGACAGGCTCCACAGTCCCCTCTGCCGGGAGAAGGGCTGGGAGGGGACCTTCCAGCTGGCACTGCCTCTGTTTGCATTGCTCCCTCAAGCACAGAGAGCTGCAGAGRGAATGGGGAGAACCTCTCCCACCTACGAGGTTACTGCGAGGATCCAGCTGGCCACGTTCTGCTCTCAAAGTGAAGCAGCAGGTATTTAGAGTGCATAAAGCTGCAGAAAACGTAGGCAGGAGGGTGTTTATTAAAAATTAACGCAGCAACCATGTTTCTGGTGAACAACACCTGCCAATTTACACTTCTACCAGGATCCAGGGTCTGCACCTCCAGTGCTTACCTTAAAACTCAGCACCAGCATTCTCTCAGCTCCCCTCTTCCTACCARGCAGGAAAATCAACCTTGACCACCTCTACCCATTCTCTGGAGCCTACCTGATGCAGCACCTTAAAGATACTCCCAAATGTAAGGTTTCTAAGATRCATGTAGCCACAACTTCCAGTTCACTCCTCTGTTCTGATAATAAGGGGCAAAGCAGGAAGTTACTTGGAAAGTGCCCTGGTTACCAGCAGGTATGAACTACACTGCTGTACTTAAACTGGCACAARCTGGAACAAGGTTAGAGCCTCCTCCCTTCTGATAAAGCCTGAATATCTGCATATTTTGGTAAGTCTSTATTAGAACTACACTGAACAGTGAYACTCAGTAACATTATTGTCCCACTGCTCATAGAAATGCAGCAACCAAGCCTAATGGAACAAAGCGTTTCCTAACAGCAGGGTAAACTGCTGCTAATGTGCTGCCAGGGACACAGGACATTGCTGCCATGCCTGTGCAAGGGTTCAGCTGCTGTTTTGTGGGGATTGGAGGGTCACAGCTCGAGCTGGGAGATCAGCTGCCTCACATGACTATGGAATTAAAGCCAGCAAGCTGCAGAGACACTGAACACAGACACAAAGGAGCTGGTGGGGAGACAGATGTCTTGTGCTGAAAGCCACTAGCAGGTGCTCCTAAACATCCTAGTGTTTAGGAATTCTGGCAGCTACTAATTGCACGTAATAGGCTGCCAGTCCCCCTGYCAGAAGCATTCCTGTAGCTGTGCTTACAGTGGCAGAGGTCTCTGCACTAGAACTGCAACCTGCAGTTAGCTTCCAGTCACCTGATTAATGAACTGCTACCAGAGCAACTCCAAATCCTGCAACACTGAGGAGATTTTAGGAGACATGAGCAGAGAAGCACCCTGAGGGAAGGCTGACAGCTGCCTAGCAGAAAACTTCTCCCATTCARAAACACATCCAGTGCCATGTCCTTGTCTGCTGCTGGGAGTTGCTCCAGTCCCTCTCTGTATCTCTTCTTTGGCTTCCTACAACAAACTGCAGCAGCAAACGATGGCTTTCACTGACTGTRGCACTGGCTCCTACTTCCTCTTCTACTCATAACCACCTCCTTGTTCTCCCCTGACTTGGCATCTTTCCCAAATGGGCTGCTCTTCTTCTACCTCTCACCTTATCATACTCCTGTGAGAGCTGCATAGAACGTGACCTTTCCCCCCAATGCACCATTTGATAATTTTGTTGCAGTTACTGTTGTTGGTGTAGGAGGTGATACACAGAAAACAGCTACCTCAACTTTATTTCATGCAATTCTTGATTCTGTTTCTCCAATTCTCTGTGTTTTTCAGCTGAACATGCATTTGAAAATGCTTTAATCATTATGGGCTTTGAAGGAATAAGAATTATTTTTCATAAATTTAAGGGAGGGTACAGCTAATTTTGAAAAACAACTTCCATGACCGGTCACTGCTTCTTTATTCCCCCATCACCGTGAACATGAGGGTTTTCCAAATGGAACTTTCTCTTCAGAGGCATGTTTCCACCACATGCATCTGAATCCCGTCCCTTCCCTTACTAATAATGAAGTCAAAAAARTACTATCTCTTTCAAAAAATCCTAGTGGGATTCTCTGTTCTTTTTCTCAAAGGTAGCTAATAAGGTCAACCACATATCCCCCCTCTGAGAGCTGATTTCACYGCTGGCAATGCAGTAATTACCAATGCAAACATCTCAGTAATACCTGTTAAGCTCTTCAGAGGCTTTCACAGCAATAGATAATTTGCTATCTGGTGTAAAAGCTGAACATTTTAGAGTGATGATGATGAAGTGTGTAAGTGCTTTTAYGGAGTGTTTTTACATGTTAAGAAAAACCAAAAGCAAGCAGAACACAATTTTACTGTCAATTCCAGCTGTGTCCTCCTTGGGTACACATTTTGGAAAGAACCAGTCACACAACTTACATCCTGCCTCTCATTGCTTTGGCTTTTTGTTCCTCTTCAAGGTTTCGTGGGGGAGTTGAAGGCGTCATTCCTTCATTTAAGCAGCCAGTGGCATCTTTTAAGCCTCCTCGGTARGATCCTCCTTCAAGGGTCTAAAAAACCCCAAAGAACAATAGAATAAAAATTTGCCTTCAACTCCAGCATCAGCATTCAAGTCAGTCCTGCAAACAACACTACAGAGTATTCAGAAACACTTTCCCGCAGGATTTCGTGAAACACAACCAAACTAGTTTTAGGTTGGTGTAGGACCCCACAAAAAAAGCATTAAAGCAGAGTTGTCATCCTCTTGTTAGAAGGTGGCAAAAGATGTTCCAGTAGATCTGAGAAAAGAAAACTCTTCCAAATTATTTCAAGCCTGGAAATATCCTGACATCTCAATCAGGACCATTGTTAGGCTGCACATGGTTAAAGTTTCTCTGCCAAAAGCTGAATGGGGAATTCTTGTAGTAAAATGAAACACAAAAATAAATAGATGGACACACAGTAACATTCCATAATAATTAAAGTTTCCCCAAAATCCCTGGAAAGTAATTGTAATAGTCTAATAGACTACACGCAGGGGAGAGAAAACATAACACCATCCAAAAAATATGTCTAACTGGATTAATGAAATACTTCTCAGTTTGTTAGTCCCTCGAAGGAATAAAACTATTTTAAGTGAATTTCTGGGAATGGCCTTCTTGGTTTCCCATGCCGCAGACAGCTCCRTTACCACTCACTCCTTATCAAGCATCCCATGAACGCTGACTCTCCTCATGTACAACATCACAAACTGAGAAAATATCAAAACCCTTGGAAATTACTCACTAGATAAAAATGCTTGCTCAGAGTTGCCGTAATTTAATGATCACAGTGAGCTTTTAATTTTTTTTTTTTTACTCTCTTCATCATTCCAGTAGATGTAAGGAAATMAACCTTTGTAGGCTCATCATGTCTCTGCTTGTCAGTTATGTTAAACTTGTGCAGAGAAAGCMTTTAGCTAATTTTAGAGGTCCTGGGACATGTAGAAAAAGGTTTAGCTTTGATATTAACATTTCGAACTGCTCAGGGAAAACTTAAAAGAAGCCAAGATATCAAACAGGATTTACTCCTTGTCCAGCAGACATGGGATCAGACAGTGAGAGTGCACGATATGAAATTTTTGAACAAATTAATCCCAGAGCATTTTTATTGCTTATTCCACTCCCTGTAAGAAAGAGTTGACAAGGCWGATTAAAAGTGACACATCAATCTTTGTAAAATTAAAGCACAGCRGTGGTACTTCAAGCGGTTCTCCTCTTTAGAGGGTCTTTTCATCGAAACCAGAACACCAAACAAATTCACGTTGGGTAATAAAACTCCTSTGCCTCAGAACAAGCTTYAAAACAAAACAAACAAAACATCYCACCGTGTAAAATAYTTGAATACCAAYAAGACCCCAGAAAGTGTACAGTACAGTAGCTCCTGCTCTGCAAAGCCTGCTCCACAAGTGATTTTTGACTGTGCAGCACAGAGCCTAGGTGAGATGTAGGTTTCAACYACATCAGGGGAGCAAAGTATTGGGCACTACTGAGAAGCAGAGCACACAGGGTTAATCAAAGCATAGCAGATGAAGGYAGAAAGCACAGAAACCAGAGCAAGAGGTAGTCTTTAAAGCTCTTCCTTGGAGTCATATCGGGCCTGCTGTGTACACAGTTTTCACAACACTAAACTTACCAGCTTAGTTTTGACCAACTTTTCTATTGCACTGACAAGATCCGCAGCAGTTGGGACATCGGCGGAGCTCTGCCGAGCAGCTAGCAAAGAAGAGGACTGCAAGACASCAGGTGGCAAAGGAAAAGCAAGTTAGCAGGATGAGAAGGGAGTAGGAAACCAGGCGGTCAGTGAAGAAGCTTCTGAGACAGGAGGAGTGTGGAAGGGGAGCAGGAGGGTTACAGGGCCACATGCAGGGCAGGGAGCAAGTGCTGCCGTGTCACACAAGCATGGAATTGCCATCCACTTCTGGCTGCACAGCTCCCTGCAGCACTTCCAAGGCTGGAACCAGGGAACAGCATTGAAGAACTGAAGTTCATAGGTTACAATACTCTTAAAGTTGGTTCCTCCTTCTAAGGCCATCTACGGTCTTAAAGGCTCCAGAAAATTGATTTTCTTACTGCAGATGTAAGAAGTTACCCCCTTCCCTGTACATACATATTTAATAAATGCAGTTAAGCACAAGGTACATGTGGAGTTACAGGCAATATGGGAGGGAGGCAGGGGGGAACAAATCATTCCCCATCCTTTCTCCATAGATCAACTGCAACTCCAACTGAACTTAGATGGCATCTCCCACTCGTGCAACTTCAGTWATTTAAAATCTGCAACTCTTTTGTCCCCTCTCTGCAACCAGTGGAGACAAAACACTCCTACATGTCTCATCTCTCCAGGGTRCCTGGCACAGGAGGGCAGAAAAGCTCAATTTTAGTTTATGGTTTTTGTTCTACAAGGCCCTATCACTCCTTGATTGTTGTGCTAAGAAACCTCAGTCTTGACACCCAAACCCACTTGATAGCAATGGGAATTGGGATTTATTAGCTCACCTGCATATACATACATTTCTTCTGAAAGCAATACAAGCACTGACTAAAACTACAARCCCTTGGACAACCTCCTTTTGTTGTCAGGTTGGCACAGACTAAAGCGTGGCTAAATTTTAATAAATTATGAAAAAGTTTATTCATCTCTCAGCTGCTTAATGAAAGTCTTGTGGAGTGCAGCTATTTTAGTGAAGTCACTGTGCAGGTGCCAATGAACATGCATCTGAGATTAAATAGTGCTGGGGAGGGAGATGTGCAAATGTGATGGCAGACATTAGGCAGCTGGCCACCTCTTTCAGCAGCCCTTTGGGGAGGTTGCTCCTGTTGAGTGACACATCCCCAGGAGAAGAAAAAAAAAGGCAAAGATTAATCCTAACCAGATGCCTTGTGACAGAACAGAAACATGAACACACTGCTACTCATCAACTTGCCTTTCACAAATAATACATCTAATCAACAGTTCTAATTACAACAACAACAAAAACTACAGGTAATCAGGCTGGTAATTGAGGAATTAGGCTGGTAATGCAGGAATCTCATACTAATGTAAAAGCTCAGCCTCTCTGTTTCACCTGCAATGCAGACAGATGAGTCTAGGAAAATAAAAGGCTGAAAATAAGGACTTTGAAGAGATACTGGACAAATACATCAATGATAACTGCCAAACATAACCATTCTAGCAGGAGGAGTCCAATTTTTGGAGGCATTAAACAGCTGTTGCTCCCACTTATTTTAACTGAAATTGCTCAATATCTCTGAAAAGTAAATAACTGCAGGATTTTGAAGGAAGCATGAAAACATTTGCTGCCTACAAGAATTCCAGGGTTAAATAAAACTTCTGTGATCGCAGGAGTCTGGTTTGAGTGGGGCGAATTGAAACACACCATTTCTACTCCTCAGGAAGCAAATTATGAATTTCTAATATGAAGAGATCTTGCAATTTGTCTTTATGAGAGCCTCCAGGAGCAGTGAGGCAAGACTGGACACAGGGAGAAGTGTCACCTGCCAGATATCTCCTACCTACCTGCCACAGCCACTGCCCCACAATTCTGCTGCTGCTCCAGCCTAAGCCCCTGCCTGTAAGCACAGGAGAGGGATTTGAGCAGGGCACTCTGCTCAAATTAACACCATTAAAGAGTTTTCAGCTCCAGCGTGGCTCAAACATTGCTAACATGGTGCCAGGAAATTCAGGACCCCATGAGCTTYAGTTTTTTACCCCCATGACAAAAGGTTGAGTAGGGCAAGAAAAACAGAGGCAAAAAAAAAGGGTTTCAGATGAATCTTGCTCTACCTAATCTTCTGGTTTAGGAGTGGGTGAAGAAGCAGGATGCCAAAACACTCTGTAAAGCTCAGACATTTGAAGCAGAAAACAGCTTAGTTCCACCACATTTATGCTGTCAAAAATGTATTTAAGAAWTATTGAAATCACATGGCGTGTTGGACACCAATAATAGTGACCTACAGGAGTTTTGAAAAACTTAAAAAAAACCCCAAAATAAAACCATCTCCCCTAAACCATAAAGCAAACTAAGCCCCAAACATTTAGCTAAACACCATGGGGAACAAGCCAGGAGCAATTGCTACAGTGCTGGGCATGGATCCACCAGGGCTCTGCTCCGCCGACCTTTCGCCTCTGCCCCTSGCCAGACAGGCAGCAGCACACGCAGCACTGCGAGGGCAGGAGTCCACAGCTCCAGCTGCTTCCTTCTGCTCCTGCTGCCACCACAATGTCATAACATTTCCTGACAGATTAGCAGCAAGCCCCCAAATCCTTTACTCCATCACTCTGCTCCTTGAGTCCCAGAAATATTTACATCCTCCTCTCTCYGTATTTCCAAACTTCTGCCTGAACCTTCCCCAAGAACATTCTGGGTTGTTTTGGTTTTTCTTTCCTGACAATTTATTAATCTCCCCTATCCCCGCCTCTCTGCCTGCAGCAATTACAATCAGAGGACAGCGGTACAGAAGTGGCAGTGCTAAAAACAGATGCCAGCAGGAAAGCAGGAAACTGCAAAACAGGAGGATGGCTTTCTACAAGGGAGACGACAGCACCAGGAAAGGGTGAGGGGGACACGTGCAGACAGGACTGGCTGTGAATGCAAACCACTGTCACTGTCACAGCCACGTTCATGGGTTCTCACCCAGTCCAGCAAAGGACTCGGCAAGCCACAGGGACAAATAGCACAGCAAATAGTGACTTAATGTCAGAGAACTACCACCACCAGCACGGTGCCACCAGGCAGCATTTCTGCTGCTACAGCCACACACCAACAGCGCTTTTCAAACAGTTGTAGAGGACACGCATTATCGATCTGAAGGGAGTTTCTGACCACACACAACACCATCGAACTGTCATGAAATGGGATGCTRGGGCTAATTGCTTATCCAGCACTATTTGTAAATCCACTTGGAGAAAGGTATTAGATAATGATTTGCACATAGGAGACTTCTAATCACAAGGCTAGGCCCTGGATATGGGAAGATCACTACAAAACCACTGTGATACAGATATGTGAGAAATGCACTTAAACATAAAAATTTTATAGTAGAGGAGGCCTTACCATCTCATCTTGGGTTGGATCATTGTCAAAAATYTTCATAGGAGGAGGAAGAGGTGTGTGAGACTCTTCATCTGGTTCATCTTCTCCCCAACCCTTCTTGCTCTTCTGAAGAAAAGTTAAATATAATTAGAAGCAGGGACAAGTTTCTTTTAGCTTTTCAGCTCAATATCGTGTTGGAGGGAATTGCAGGTAATGGAAGGGAAGCAGTAAAGACATAAGGTTTTGCTGGTTAATCCTGGTGCATTCTAAGGCTTACAGAAATACAGTTTATAGGTCATTCATRCAGCTAAGGCAGCTACATCTGTCTGTGTGCTGACAGAATAGCAGTTTTTTCATTTAAATAAGAACTGGTCAATGTACAGTTTTTARAACATGTTCCTCTATTTATGTTCARTTAGTATCTTCTGCATTTTCTGCTTTTAATTCCTCATTCACTTTATCAGGAAAGCACCCTTCTAGTGGAAAACATCCTGCACAAAAACTGCAGGTMCAACTACACAGCATAGATTTAACAGAAACATGGCTATTTCTCTGAGTATTTTCTTTCATTAAGCATTTACATTGCCATGGTAGCATAAAGGTAGTATGAACCTCAGCAAAAAGTGGTAAGATGCTCCAGAATAACTTAATTTCTATCCTTGGCAGCTTCCTAATAGGCTATTAAAAAAASCTAATCAAAGGACAATAGTATATGCAAACTCTGAAATGCTGCTCCCTTTATATCCCACTGCTCTTTGGATGACAAAGCTGTTTGCAGCCCAGCTTTAAACAATGCTATTTTCTGTATGATCCGCTGCTCCCTCCACAGCCTAAGGGAACTGCGTTTACTCATACATGACTCACACCCCAGGGAGGAGACAATCCCAGATACATGGTCTTTCCCGCAACAAACACCAACAAACAGCAGCACACACCTCATCTGCGCTGTCTCCCTGAGGAGTGGTTTCATCTCCAGTCTTTGGTGAGCCAAGGTCAAAGCTCTTCCTGCCATCCCGCACTTTCTTTTGTTTCTTGATGTGGCTCTCGGTCTTCCCGCTGTTCAGGCGGCGCACGGGACTGGTCAACCATTTCTTCAGGGTGTTGGTGGAGCGCTTGGGGCCCGGAGAGCTCTGGATGGAGTTGAGGGATGGCTGGGGTTGTAAGTTGGCCACGGAGTCAGACTTGCCCCCGTTGTCATTGGAAGAGACTGAATATGCATCTGCAAGAAAACGGCGCAGGTGAGAGCTCATTCCAGCACCCCTCTGCTCCCCGGGACACGGCAGGCGCTCGCAGCACCAAGCATGAGAATACAGCCTGCCCTGGGGAAAGGGTTGGTGACCTATGGACTTTATGCAAACTTTATTGCACACCAGAGACAGGATATGCCCTGAAAAGGGCATTTCCCACCTGTCACACACCTCTCTCATTTCCTACCATGCTATCTGTCCTTACGAAAGATCTCAGACAGTAAAGTATTTTTATGCAGGTTTTTATTCAGGTTTTTGGTTTTTTTTTTTTTTTTTTTTTTTTATGAAAGCCTGATTCTCGTGCTAAGTGCTAAATTTCTCAGCTTCTTCCCACAATTTCATTGTGAATTGCCAGGAAGAAAATGAGCACAAGAAGCAGATTACTACAGGAGACCTGACAACCTCCAACACATTGTCAGGTTCCTATTCCATAATTGTTTCTTATCTGTTTCCAGACCTCAGTGACATGAKTTAGTTAGACTACTTATTAACTTTTGAAGCAGCTTAAAATTATCTCCTTTGCCTCTGAAAGCAATCTGTCAGAAGAGTTCACACAGTCCCTAGAACTAAGAAACTAGAATGAACAATTACAAAAGAKGACAAACTGTTCAAACCAAAGGAAACTCTCAATAAGCAGATACGATACAGGCTTAAAATTAAAAAATGGGTTCATTATATGGAAGCAGAAGGTTCTGTGAACTGCATCCAACCCCCGTTACTGATACACACGTTCAGACTGGCACCTTAAAAAGGGCTGCAACCTTCCTTACTCCCCCCAAATGCAAGAGACCAAAGATGTGCCAATGTCAGTAAGGCTTTAAAACCAAAACAAACAAGTTGCTCAAAGATTTCCCAATTGCCCTTTAGGAACAAGTACCCTGCTTTCACCTCTCTGAAATCATGGCAAGGCAACTCCCTCCCCAGGAGCTATCTGGCTGAGTTTAAGATGAAGGTTTTTTTTCAAAATTCAGACATTGTTACACTCCTCTAACAAATATCTCAAGCAGTACATCAGAAAACAGCCAGCTGATAATCATTAAACATTTTTACATTGTTATCCCTGAATCTTTTATCTGTCCCAGCAGAAACCAAAAACCTAAGTCACAACACATGAAAACAGACTGGTGCATCCAGATATTCTCAGTCCAGCAATAAAGACCATTAGAGATGCTGGGYTGTACATACGTTTAGGGAGAACTGCTCTCCTAGAGATTCATTACCTGTATTGTTTTTGAAGCCAGTTCCTGCTACCTGCAGGATCGTATCCCCTCTGGACGGAGCTGCTGCTCACAGCTGTCTCTGCAAGGAGCAGAGATTGCATCCTGCCTTGTCTGCCAGCTTGCACAATGCAGACTGTGAGAGTCAGAATGTTTTGAAACAATACACAGCATCAGTCAGAAGTTGAACCAATAATTTATTACATACCTGAGGTCAAAAGTTACATTTTTAGAACATAAGGAAATAATTTTAACAAGCTAGAGAAAGTCAAAGTTCATTTCCCAGACAGGATGAAAATCACAATCATCTAGTTTTTGACAACAGGAGTGAGTGCAAGAGGAACACCGGGAAGAGGATGGATTCCAGGTGGAGCTGATCCCAGGTGGAGCTGCCGGGGATTTTCTGGCATTCCTCTGTAAGGGCAAAGTAGCAGTCTTATCTCAGAAAGGCYTGGGTTTAGCCAGGTCCTGCTGATGTTATTTCATGTACACGAAGCAGCGCTAAATCAACCAGCACRAGATAATGTTGGTTGGGGCTGGCTTATCTTCCACCCAATAGGCTTCGGACAGTTCTCCCTCGCAGGCTCCACGTGATGCCCTGCGAGTTTATCAGCGTGCCTTGCGTCAGCAAAATTCAGGGTTTCATGATGGTGCCTTTGATTTTCCAAGTGCCCTCGCACCCCTGGCAGCACTGAAAGCCCCACAGGCAGTTGGGGAAGCTTGAGGGCTCCTGGCCAAGGGGCTTTGCCAAGAGGGTGCCCTCAGGTWCCCGTGCTCCTACTGCTGCTGCAGGAGGATTAACTTTGGGAATTACTGYAGCAAAGGGAGCTGGGCTGCAGTCAGAAGGAGAAATGTTGGGAAGATTGCTCTGTGGGGCTGCCATTCCCAGGGATGATTTGGGGGGAGCAGCTGTATCATGGACTCGCTGCCTTTGCTGAGGCCTGGGCTCAGTGGGAGGGTGAGGAGAACCAAGGATGAGCTGATCTCACATCTCCGCTGATGTACAGAGAGGTTTTTAACACAGCTTGTAACTAACGCAGTCCAACTCCCCACCTCCAGTCAACACCACTTGGCCAATTTAACTTTTGGTAAGGGAAGGGAGCCGATAGGAGGCTAATGAAGCCTGGGACAACACCAAGRGTTTGTTACTGAGATGGTAATCCTACCTCAGTCCACCAGACTCGAGGCAGGGCCAAATCCAGGAGCCCTGATGCTTGTGAAGGGGCAGGGACCTCCCTTCCCAGCAGGAAACACCCCATRTTTACCAGCAGGGCCAGGCCCCAGCCTTGCTGCCTCCCTCTCCTGTCCCCAGCAGCACAGCCACAGCTGAGGCATGGACAGACACACAACACCTCTCTGCCATGGCACACTCTGCTCAGCTGTCCTGGGGAAGCGATGGCCAGTCATCCCATCATTCCCAGCAAGGCAGCACATGGACAGAAACAGTCACAGTCCCAAGCTGACCCACAGACCACCCTGCCTGCTTGCAAGAATTTTGACACCCAGAGCCAGAAACCCGCTGCAGACTGAACATCAGGGCTCCAGCACCACCAGCCATGACAAAAACCAACCCACAGGGTTSTGAGGGAGGCTGTTACACCAGCCAACGATCCCACCTGAAAAAGGCTCTGGATTTTCCTGTTCACGGTTGTGCCTTTGGTGATGAAAAGAACTGTTTACCAAGGGTTTACTAAATATTGATCGTGCCATGCAACCCTGCCAGATATGAGGTCCCCTTCTTTCTCCTCATCTGCTGAGCTGCCCTGGCTGAGYAYGGTAAGGTGTCTGGGACAGYGCCCATGCTGCACCTGGCCCATGCAGACTGAGACTGGAAACATGGCCTTATCTTGCCTGGAAGGCAGTCTGGCTGGGGAATAGGCAGAGATGTGGGAGAGAAGGGAAGGCGTGAATCTCCCTGCTCCCCAGCCACCGTGAGAGCCCTCTGACATTGGGTGTTTAYTCTGAGATGGGAGTACAAAGCACTCCCATCTCATCAGCCCAACTCTCACCGCTACCAAACACGCGTTGTCCAAAAGCCACACCAAGAATCTTCATACAACATTCATAATATTTTTTTTTCCTTTTTCAAAGGAACTGCAAATTTGGATACACTTGTGAGCGACTCACATTTGCTGTTTGCCAGCCCTGCTGAGAAATATTTCCTTTGCACATAAAGCAGGTCACATCGACATGGTTGCAGAGGCAARAATGGAGCTCAAGGAAGAGCAGAGCTCACAAAATGAGAGAAAGAAACATGAAACACAAAAAATCTGCCAGGAAAGACCTTGCAGACAACCTCCTAAGCAGTGTGAGCTCTGCTTCTGCAGCGCATACGGCTACAAACACATTAATCACGACACTTGATACTGGCCCGAGACCCAGACATCAGGTGCATCGAGCGGAAGAGGAGGACATGTTACCGTGCTCTTCTTGCAAAGCACTAGCACATATGTGCCTTGAAAACTGCATTAGCAGAGCTCTTTGGAAACACAGTTTGCTCACGAAAAGCCAGAGAGCTTTTGGAAAAGATGCAGCAGCTCATTGCGTGATAATTGAGGCAGCTGCTGCCGCCCGCAAGGAGCAGCAGAGCAGCGGCTGTCCCCACATTGCAGCGGGTCTGCCCTGAGGAGCTGTCCTCCCACCAGTGTCCCAGGACACAAGTCTAAAAAAAGGTTATTTGGTGAAGCAAAATGGGTGTAGGGAGGTCAGCAGACTCGTGTGGCTAGATTGATTTCCTGGCCAAACCATTCATTCAGACAGAAGAAATGATGGTTTCCAAAACACTCCCAAGCAAACCTCCAAGAAACTTCTGGCAAGAAGACTGTGAGAGATACTCAGCCAGACCAGAGGGCCTTAACATTCGGAGCTTTTGCACCACTGTAGCCACGCAATGTTTGTTGTTGTTGGTCAAATGAACAGACATCTGTAAAAGCACAGCTCTTGTACTTGAAAAATAGAAGATTCCAGCTCCGAGCAACCTTGGGTGAAAAGAAAAGCAAAATTCTCATAGATCTGATTTTAGAGGCACAGTAATATTCTCATCTGAGCCGGCAGGAATTACTGTTGGAACATAAATAAAAGGCATTTTATTTTTACCTCCCTGTTCCCCAGAGCACACGTGGGAGGGGAGGTTTGTCTGATCAGGCTCAGGCAGCATCAGACTCCTTTGCAGGACCTCAGATCTCTAACAGGGAAAGGGAAAAGCTTCTCAGAGAAACTCTGAAGAAAACATCAGGCCTCTCTTTTTGATACATAGTAATGACAGATTGTATATGATAGGAAAGAAATACGTGTCCATAACCAGAAGATAATAGAGAATAYAGCTAGAAAAACAGGAGACTAGAGAGGGGCACAGTCTTGCTTTAAGTGAGATGAATCCTCTTCTGATTTCTCTATGGCTCCATTTACAGCCCAGAAAAACAACCTGAGAGAGAAGGATTTTTCCACAGAAGTCAAAGAAAATGAGCCAGAATGGGAACTCKGAAATCCTACTAGCATGTGCATTTAAATCAACAATTCTCTTTTTACAGAGATAATTCCACTTGTGAATGAAAGCCAATAATGACAATCTGACTGATGAACACATAAATCAGCTCTGTTGTGCTTGACAGAGCCCATTTCCCACATTTAGTGRTTCCTGTAAAGTAACACTTGTGACAAAGAATTTAATCAGATGTGGGTAAAAGACTAACTCAGTCTTTACCCAAGTAACTTTCCTAAAGAACAGGAATCTCCATACCAAAAAAACTTGGAAA